CATAATACACTTCTCCTATTCTCAAAGTGATCTTACAGCACAGTGGCAGAATTGCATGGCTGATACCCCATTCACAGTGGTTTTGAAATTTGTAGCGGCGTTGTAGCGGAGCGGCGACACCGCCATAACACCGCTACAAATGCATTCACAGTAGAAAAATTATCCCGCTGCAGCAGCGGGATAAATATCATGTACCCATTCACGCTGCAGCGGGTGATTTTTATTACCTCCGTAACAAACACGTGTATGCATGGCTCATGACCCGCGAGTGACCCCGATATGACCGGAAATACTTCAGCGCGGGGTTTTAGGGTAAACATGTCAAGTTGCTTTTTGTATCCTCGATCATATTACTTTTTAAAAAACTAGCATTTTTATTGCTTCCAGTCAGAATATTTTAATTTTTTGAAGTGTGAAATATTTTTATTTGGATAATTATAAATCTACATAATAATAAAATCAATTTGAATCCACTGGTTACTTTATTTCTATTTCACTTTATGTTCCCCATTGCTGGAGAAAAGAGGTCAGTGATAGGTAAGTAAACAAATCACACGTGTTTGTCGCGGTGTTATAGCGGAGAGCCTTCACACTGAGTAAACACCGCGACAGCAGCGGGACTGTCCCGCTGCTGTAGCTAGGCGAGCCTAGCGATAGTTCGTCGCGGCGTTATCGCGAGGCGGTGTTATCCCGCGATAGTTTATAACGGGTCCGAGCCTTCACACTGAAGACAACACCGCGACAGCAGCGGGACAGTCCCGCTGCTGTCGCGGTGTTTGAGGCCACTGTGAATGGGGTGTGAGATTTATAAAAGTCGTTTTTACATAGAAGATTCTGGTGAAAAGCATTGCTTATTCAAAAAAAAAAAAATCCTTGCATCAATTTGAATCACAATGATTATTTGTCGCATGGTCCTTTTATTATTAAATAACCTTGTTTTCTGTTTTGTTTGCAGAGGGAGAAGAAGCTATGTCACGTTAAGAAATCATAAAGATCAGTTGTATTATGCGTATATACATATGATACCAGAACAAATGTTGATTATCAGAATGTCATTTTGGAATACCTCTATACAAATACCACATTGTCTTTAGCCCGTATCAGTATTAGTATGATCCAATATAAAGCTATTTTTGTTAGGGTTGAGACGCTAAGAAATGGTTTCAAATGTACATTACACGAAGCCTGAACCATTGCAAAATGATGGTGGTTCTCTCTCTCTCTCTCTCTTTATTTTAATCATGCATTATCAACTACATATAAAGCAGCAACCAAAAACTTAGGGTTATCTGAGATAGGTGAAAGTAAGAGATAAAAAGAAAGTCATGCTAAAACGGCGCTTTACTTACCCCCGCCCCCTGAAAAAAATGAAATAGATTAGTAGTCCTTCTCTCCAGCACCCCCCCCCCACCGCTTTAATATCACATTTTCACTTGGCAGCCCAAGGGGGCCGGGGGGGGGGGAGGAGGGGGTTAAACCCCCTAACCCCCCCCCGTAGATCTGCCCATGTTACCATATCATTCCACGACATTTTGGTCTTCCTCATCTCCTCAAGAGGGACTTTTAGATTTGCGTGGACGTGGACGTGTTACGTCCTTTTGAGGCACTGGCAGTCACATATGACGTCCTTTTAAGCACTGGCAGTGCCTTAAAAGGAGGTCACACGTTGCAGTCCACGTTCTCATCGTGCAAATCTTAAAGTCCCTAATATTGATTTACTGGTCGAGGTTCATTATTTGCTGACAACGAAAAACTTCTCCAGGCCATGACCATGTTTCTGCCCTTGCGCGATCGCCTCCAGCTCCAGCAGACATGGCGCGGCAGCGTGCACACGCACCGCTACTAACGGTGCAGTAGGCCTATAACCACTGCTGACGGCGGCACTGCACTGCGAGCTGAATCGGTAATAATAGGCCTACTCATAAAACGAGAAATCTTGCACGCTAATCTTAGTACCATTTCATTGGTTTAAGGTTTGAAAATTGAAACTCAATATTGCGTTAAAGTTATAACAGAAAAGATAATCTTTATTTTATAATTCCACCGGGGCGATTTTTAATTTTGCAATCGCCCCCGTGAGCAACCTGACGGGGGCGATTATGTAGCTCACGGGGGCGAATCGCCCACCGCCCTCGTGTATTTTGAGCGCTGCTAGCTGCCCACTGACCATGTTATATGCAAATGGTCAGTTACAAGACAAATAATGGTTTGGTGCTATAATTAGTGAAATAAACTAACTGATTACGACGGAGACTATGCAGGGGAACTAAAGAAATTTGAGGACATAAGGGGACAAAAAAATGGGGAAACTTTTTGTAAACATTCAAAACTTGCTATGTTTTAATCAATTTTGACCTTGACCTTGACCTCGATCTCAAAATTATTACCAAAATGAATTGGCATCCCAAAGTTAGTGGGAAATGACACCTTAAACGTTTTGCTGGACTATTTGGTTCAAAAGTTAAGTGTGTTTGTACATTAGACCATGAGGAAAAGCGGCCATTTTGGATTTGACCTCTCAGGGTCATCAGAGGTCAATTCTGACTTCCCTTCACATCTGAAAATAAATCTTATGGTCTAAACTAACTATGCTAGAAGTTTCATGCTTTTCTCAAAAAGTGCACAATTTTCATTATATTGGGAGCTTATCCGCTGTACTATTATAAGATCCTCATTTACCACAGTACAAAGCATTTCATTCCTTATTTTGGTAAATAAAGTAGAAATTATTTATTTTTCCTGACTACTTTGTTTATTCTGCTTTAATTTCAATCTCTACTGTTTAATCTTTAAGCACTTCTAATTCAGTAGTAGTAGTAGTAGTATTAATATTATTACATATGGCGTGTTTCATGAAACATTAACAAAAAGCATCATAGGAAGAAACGCACCCCGACTCGATCTTCTCCAGATCACACACAAAAGCAACATTTTTTAATTACATGTAATGAGCAAAACTTTTCTTGCATGATTTCACTGAATGTGATAAAATTCCTTCTGGCAAAGCGGTTTTAAATGGATTGGGTAATTTTGTCTCAAATTCTGAAACAAAATCCTGGATTCAGCTCATGCTGCGATCATACACTGTCGCTCATAAATGTGGAATATTTGTTTTTATCCCAATATTTGGAATTATTTTTAAAATTATTTAAAAATCATAGATCTAGATAATAGTATACATTCTCAGATTTTATTGAATAATAATTTGCCAATACGTGTTTTGCGTGACTGCTAAAGCATGTGTATGCTACTATGCTTATCAACTAGGGGACCTATGCCCTTAAGTCATAAATGACAGTAATGAGGATTAATGCCCCACAAAAGGGCACTAATATAGCACATCGACACGGTTTTGATCCTGGGGCCTCCCAGTTACGAGGCAATTGCTTTGTCACTGAACCCTGACTGTACGCAGCGGGGGCTAGGGTAGGGGGCAGTTTCCATAAATAAAAAAAACACAGAAAATGCAATCAATTTTCAATAATTAATTGCATTTTACACCGGTTCCCAACATAGACAAATCTTCTGTGTGCTCATGCCTTGAGCCATATGCATGGCCGCCCAAAGGATTTTGTTATGTTCGGGACCAGGGTAAAATGCAATAAATTATTGAAAATTGATTGTATTTTTTTTTTTTTTTTAAATTATGGAAACTGCCCCCTACCCTAGCCCCCGCTGTGTACAGTCATGGTTCAGTGACAAAGCAATGGCCTTGTAACTGTGAGGCCCCAGGATCAAAACCGTGTCGATGTGCTATATTAGTGCCCTTTCGTGGGGCATTAATCCTCATTACTGTCATTTATGACTTGAGGGCGTAGGTCCCCTATTTAATAAGCATAGTAGCCTACACATGCTTAAGCAGTCCCGCAAAACACATATTGGCAAATTATTATTCAATAAAATCTGAGAATGTATACTATTATCTAGATCTATTATTTTTAAATAATTTTTAAATAATTCCATAAATTGGGATAAAACTAAAATATTCCACCTTTATGAGCGACAGTGTACTTATAAACCTTTAGGTTAGTCAGGAAACCCCATGACTTTTACAAGCTGATCGCCTGTCTGCTTATCAAGATATTGATGATTGGAAATCGAAATTTTGCGTTTTCCTAACGGTTTTCATAAAACTATAGTCTATTGGGGAAAACAAGTATGGTAAAACCGGTCGCTCAAAGATTTTTAGTTTTTTAAAGCAATTCTTGATCATTTTGGAGCGCAATGTTTTAGGGCTTTAATATATTACACCATATCACAGACACTGATAACACGTAGGGCTATGTATCTCAGATTTAACATAAACGATGCCTTTAATATCTATCACTTGCTTTGAACAAAAGAATTCCTCGCAAAAAGTACCTCCTGTACAATATACATGCACAGACTGGACTGGTCAGTGGCGAAGCCTATAGCACCGGATAACGTTTGTGAAATACGACTGTCGCGAATGACGAGAGGATGTGGATGCGGGACAGTATCATCTGTTGCGTGTTCATCGCCCCTCCCCCAACAAAAATCACTCTCTCTCTCCTTCTCTATATCATCTCCCCCTCTCTCTTATCTCTCCCTCTTCTCTCTTTATCTCTCTCTCTCTCTCTCCCTCCTCCCCTCTCTCTTTCCCTCTCTATATATATATATCTCTCTTCTTTCCCCTCTCTCTCCCCTTTGCCTTTCTCTCCCTCTCTTACGTAAAACTGTGTGTGTTATTTGCCTCTCTTTCCTGTCAATGTCAAGTTTAAATGAACAATATCATGCTGAAACCCATCTATAGGGACGTTAACCTTTTGTACAAGTATACCAGTTAAAAGCCTCTTTGCTTTGGGCAGACAAAATACTGTAAACATGTCAATCACAAAAGCTAAACGAGACTTATGGATTGTATCTAACAGTATCTAATTCACAATACTTTTAACAATTGGCCTGTAATTCCCCCCGTACACCACCGTTCACACAACAAACACTGTCCGTCAGCTTTGAAGAAGTACGAACAATAAACAACTGAACTACTGTAGTGATATATCTGAACACATGATAGAGGCGTACTATAAACTCCTTGCATCGACAGACAATTATAATGATAATTTCGACTTATACCATCGATTGGTCTTGGCAAGACTGCTATTTATAGGTATTTTAAGGTTCCTGTTTCCTGATCGTCTAATACATCAACCTATGAGTGCTGTAATTGGGGGTCATACTGCCCTATAGTTCGTTGATATCGCATCATACATATCAGTCTCTCTAATGAAGGATACATGTCTGCTACCTGGTCTAAGATCCACAATGACACGCTGATACTTCTACATGGGCTACACTTCGAATACACAATTGTGGTAAGTCTCGAAAATCAGTTAAACATGATGGCTTTTTTTTCAACCTGAGGCAATTCAAGAGCCTTAATTGTGGATCACCTGTTGAAATATGCGGACATTGCAATGACGCATTACATGTACAGGTACCATGATTACGCAAGGTCGAACATGATTTCCGTGTGATGTGGTATTGAAATTGCCTTAATAAGAGTTGATTTCTCGAAAGTTTTTGAGATTGGTTTTCCATCAATTTCTTGTTGGTTTCAGTCAATATGTTGGCCTATAATAGTGCCATTACAGGATTACAATACATAATATGTACCGTGAGTAACTTCATTCAGATCATTGACCCTGGAGATGGGAGGGTGGTTATGACCATGGATGGACCTACTACTGTTAAGACCATGGGTTTGTGCTAGGTCCTTGTTTTGACCGACTCACTGTACATGGAGCAGCGGCAGCGGACTGAACTCGAGGGTTGTAGGATCTCCCCACTCTTCATTTTTTAGGTCACATATTTTAAGCAATTTTCCGCAATAATTATCCAAATACTAGAACTAAGTTAGTTCCCTAATCTTTACTCTTTTTTCAGTGGCATAATTTGTATTATTGTTACAGTGATTAACAAAACCAAGGAGATAAATCTCATTGACAAAACTAAACATAGCAGTATATTACTGCATAGTGTGTGTAGCCGTATGTTCCATATTTTCTGAATGTTTAAGAGCTCGTAGAAAAGAACGGAATAGTAGAATCATGTTGTGCATGTCACAAGTAAATATAAAAGAGTTTGCAATAAATGTATTGAAAAAATAGACATGATTGGTAGTAAGAATGATAAAAAATATTCGTCATCTGTGAACAAACAGTACGTAAATGTTTTTCTTTACACCATACAAAAATATCACTCCAAAGAGATCGAACCTTTTCACACAAAGTAAATATTGAAGAAGGACTTTTACCTAATTTATAAAGAAAATTTTGTGTTGCAATTTTGCTATGAACAAGTTCAAATTCAAATTTTTCGCATTTTATTATTTATTGATGGCTATATAAACGTATATTTAGTTCGGAAAGAACTGAATAGTGTAACATAAATGAACTTGACAGAAATTTCATGCGACTTAGGATTTTATCAAAAGACATAAATGAACCATCAATGTGCAAAATCTCCTTATATCAGAATTAAAATGTGAGCTCATCTTGTTCCTCTTTCTTTTCCTAATCTAACTTCCATCAATTAATTCACCTTTCACATGTTGCAAAAAGCGGAAAACGATTAAAAATTTGATGACACGCATACCGGATACAACCACTTGACACATCTCCCATGCTCCAAGTCACCGAAGAGTTATGCGCTAATCTGCAACAGTTTACTGTTGATCAGGCGGTGAGATAAAAGAGCGCATGAAATATCAGGATCTAGAAATTCCTACACCAGAAAATATGTTTTTAGCAAAGCTTCGCTGTCCCTTTTAATGATTTATCATCGATTGTTGAATGTGTAATGAGTTTAACAAGCGAACACAAACTTTTGTAATTTCATACTTTTTTTCCAACTGCAAAAAAAAACGCACGCATTAGCAAACTTAAAGCTATCGAAGATTGTACATCATGGATTTATTACCGGGACATTAACAATGCGAAAATAATCGGATTATCCTAAAAATATTGAGTTTTTGTCAGGATATAATTTTTCTTTTACCAACTCTGGCACACAAATTATAGGAAGGGCGAAGTACTCAATTTGAATAATTGTTTGATGCACTATTCCCAATACAATCCCAATTTAAAGTTTATAATTTACACTGAAATGTTGCCGGTAATTTAATAAATGTGAAACTGGTGCCTGGCCTCCGAAATTTGCGGCTCGGGGTATAGAGCTTCAAAGCCAAGTGGAATGTTATGCATCCCATTGTTACGCTTTAGAACTCACGCATGCGTTTGAATAAATTACAAGAGTTTACACTCCTTCTCTATCACCTCCATGTTCAGATGAATCAGTTGAAAGCACATTTAGAGCCAATAAAAAAACATTTTTTGTAAACTATTAAACGACCCGATAGGCCTTTAGAAGCATCTACTTTAGATATGTCCTATGATGTGATAGGCGCTATAAAAACAAATATTTTTTTTTTACTTCAGTACTGCCTTTATACAAATTTATCTCAGAGAGATCCCAGGTCAATAATTTAATTCAGACATTTACATTTAAATCAGTATATTTGTAGAGCTTATTACTTATCTCTTAATTGATGTAATTGTACGCATTGAATGTTTCGTTTAAAATCTTAGACTGAGATCAGTATGAAATCTAATTAAAGAACCACGGTCAATATGAAATCGAAACCAATTTGAACAAGGTCAATATGAGACTGAAACTTCCTCCTAGAAGAAATAAACATCTCCCGATGTAAATCACTTTAAACCTTTTGTTAGCAAACCATTAACATAAATTTAATCTTCATCGTAATCACTTGGTTTGGGCCTTCTCTTTCCTTTATTATTGAGCCAGACAATTTATTGGTCATATGTTTATAAGTATTGCACTGCAATGCAAGATGGTGCCGTCCATTCGCAGCCCATATGGTCGATTATGGTCCACTTCGACAGACTTGGCTAGAGGGTAGAGTTAGGTGATACAGATTAAAGTGCATTGTTCAAGAATTAGACTTTTGCCCTTGATATACGTCCCTCCACTGGCGTACTGATGTGGGGGGGGGGGGCAGTTGACTGGGAAATAAAATTCAAACGTGGTTTATTTATAATTTGATACCAGTGATTCACAATTGTTGCTGAAAGGACATGATTTTCCGGTTTTGTTTTCTTCTCACTTTTGCCCATTATGCCAGAGGCAGAACTCCCGGGGGGGGGGGGGGGCACTGTTTTCCCACTTTTCTAGGTACTCCCTAAAAGCCCCTTTTTACAGAGGAAAAGTGCTCCTTTCACTAATAACTATCCTTTTACTCTATTTTCATCTCTGGTGATCTGAGTACGTCTTTTAGGTGCAAGAAAATTCCCCTTTTCACCTCTGACATTTTCCCACTTGTTTACTTTGACTCGTGCCCCTTTTCCTTTCTAATAAGTACCATATATCCTAGTCGGATTAGTGCCCATTTTCCCTTTTTTTATATTAGCCTCTGCCCTTTTCAAAATGCCACTCTTAAAATCTGACGCTTGCTCTTTTCTTCATCAGATTCCCCATTTCAATTCACACAAGACTAGTGCCTTTTTTAACTTCTGTTGAGTGTACCTTTTTAAGTGCCATTTTCAACTCTAATAATTGCCCTTTTTACCTTGACACGAGCACCTTTTCTCTTCCAATTAATGTCCTTTTCCCTTTTGATAAGTGCTTACTTTCCCTTTCTCCATAACATACACCCCTAATTCAAGGCGGCTTAAAGCCCGTTTTTCTTTAATTTTCCCTATAGAGCTCGCTCTTTCGCATTAATTAGATGTTATAATTATGTTAATTTTCAGTCTTTCTCTATTAGATTGTGCTTGATAATAATCAGGATTTGTTTTCTGTCTTCTTTTAAGATGTAATTTCTCGCACTGGGAACTCACAAATCTTAGAAGTTGTGCTTGGTCGCTTCGCTCGCTCGAAAATTAATATACAGACCATCACACCCAAATGCAAAGTATGTTGCTTAATTTAAAAGCAGTATCTTGTACCACATAAAGAAGGAAACAAATATTGATGTCATCATCACGATGTAGGGGTATATACCAATGTCTAAAAGTGGTGTATGTTTTTGTTAATGTTTCCCTTTGTAGGTGCCCCTTTTTTGTAGTGCTTCCTAATTTGAAAGACGCTCCGCCGCCTCTGCATTATGCTACTTGGTGGTGATGCGGTTTTAGTTCTGACCTTTTTGTTCAATACGCCATTGCGGCCCTAGGTCTAGTATTCAAACCACTAGAATGAAACGTTGTCATAAGAAATTGAATAAACTTATTTTCGTATACACAGAATATTCATCAGCATTATATTACATTAAAAAACAGTAAGTAAGAAACTACAATGTCGGCTCTATCAACTGTAACAATATCTTGCAAAATATAATTTGCAAGAGTAAACGCATAAGAACAACATTGTCTATAGTAAAAAAAAATGAATGAACTGATGTTTATAAACACATAAAACATAAATCACTTTTCATTTGTGGTAAATAAGAATAACAAACATTGGAACTATAAAGCACCAGTAATTATAACGACATCTGCTCCCTATATCCATTTAGGGTGTCAGTTTCCCATTTACATTTTGCATTATGATTTGCAAGAATAGGCCTTAACTGATACGTGAGCATGTTTTTCTGAGACGCGGTGATTCATAATGGGGAAGTTCCTTGGGTACGTTCTAGAATCGAGATAATATTTACTTTAGAAAAAAATGTATCTGATTACTTTCGTAAAGTGTTTGAACCTAAACAAATGTCTTGGAAAGCAGTAATGATAAATTAACGGTGTAATGATGATGCGAATGTATATAGAGTGTTTACACGGGCAGGGTGAATGATTACATACAAACATGACTCAATCATAATCCATCAATATTTGAGAATAAACATAGTTTAATTGGTACAAACGGATATGGACCGGAAGACCGTTGCATTGTTAAATGTCGTCAATTAAGTGTTATAATTCAACGGGGGGGGGGGGGGGGGGGGCTAGCTGAGAGGAATATTAAATACTATAAATTTGATTTTTATTGAAGAATTCATCTTCACGTTAAGTAGTATGATTGATGATAATCATCATAAGCACACACACACACACACACACATACAGGCACACACCCGCATACGCACACGCATGGAAAGAGATGTAGGATAAGGAGAGAGGGGACAGAGGAAGAGAGAGAGAGAGAGAGAGAGAGAGAGAGAGAGAGAGAGATCGGAGTATATTTGTTCTGCTCCATAAACTACTTCCTTTGGCTCTACCTGACTTCCTCAATGCCATAATCGCTGTTATCTTTGTATTCAGATGTAGGCCTATTCAACAACGAAACGAACTGCGGTTACGATAAAGTCAGTATAAGTGGAAAGTCTCTTGAATTTGTTGTGATATAATTATGGATTAGTAGATGACACATTGTGTAGACCGGCAATATTTATTGCTGATTGAAAGTATTAAGGGTGATAATTAGTGACGTTATAGGCTGTCGAAAGTCAAGGGCTTCGCTAGACCATTCCCTGATAGCTAAATGGGATTTTGTTTTCAAATTTAAAGAAAAAAATTGTTCCAGTTTTAACAATTTACCTACAAGGTTAAAAATAAATTATTACCAATTAGGTAGATTGGGAATTGGCCGAAAGAAAGATTTAAATGTGGGACATAGTTCTTGTACTTTTTGGAAAAGCGCCAGGGGCGTTCCGCCTCTCTTCTGGAAAATATTCCGCCCCTTGTTTATTATTTTTCTGGATACGCCACTGTGCATACATCACAAGCCTAGTCATCTCCGGTTCCATTTAAATATATATACGTATATCTACGTGTATATAGTGCAGTTGCGAACAACGGCCACTTCAGGTATTAACAGATAATACTTGTTGACGCATTCAGTCCCTGTTATACAGGGGAGTCTCAGATAGGCCAGTCAAATTGGTTCGCTGCTGCTCAAATAATGTTATGTAGTTTGAAGGTAAAGACCAGTAATGGAAACGCCCCAATTTCAAAAAATGAAATGGAAGCTCTTATTACCAATCACGGTGAAAGAATATGTTTTGAATAATACATAATGATACAATTTTTTCCAAGAAACCGCCTACTAATTGATATAATTGGTAAATTAGTTATCTATATTGAGAGATGAAAACGCATGTGTCGCGCACGTGTGCGTAGTCCCATATACATCTTGTTGTGTACAGTGCTTGTAACTTTATGAAACTGGGCCAAATTTCTTATCATTTTGATGATTCCAGAAACTTGCAGTAAATCTATGCTAGATGATCAACCTTTTCTGATCAATTTCACAACGTTTCTTTCACAATGCAATCGCATGACCATATCTGGTCTTTATCTTTAATCTATTAAACAGTAACAAACCATTTCTAGCATGATTAATTTAACATAAGACATTTGTGGAGCATATAGTTCAAAGTCCTTAATTCTTTAATCCCTTTCTCCGGCTCATCCTATGTCGGTCTATAATCCGAACCGGATATACTCGCCCTCCGTTGTGGTCTCTACCTGAAGATCACGTTAGAAACCGTATCCAAAATAATACCAACCAAAACTGAAAATATGGTGCAGTCTAGTTGTATACGTTGACGTGACTGTTCGAATTCAAATATTATTTTAGGGATGGATATATTACCAGGAATTAAAATAATAATAAAAGAAAATGACACGGAGACAAACAACTACCTACTACAACGATCATCGGTACAAATGTGTATGGGCAATGCTCTGAAAAAACGTATTGGGAAGGAGTTTATGTAAGAATTTCGGTTATGCATTTCACGCGATTCTGAATGTCATCCTGGCATAGTGTCATTGACAAAGTCATTCATTTAAAAAAATACATGCTATTGTTGATCACACTCATGAATTAGAAGTTTCTTTTTCTTTATCGGGATAAATAGTTGAAGGGTTTGATATGCCTATCTAAAAAGCAACAAAAACATATCATGACATTCCTAACCACTTGACAGAGTCATCGATAAAATCCTGACATTTCAGTCTACCACAATTTTGTATCGTCTAACATTTCAAACTGTCAACTTTCTCAAACAGCGATTGCACAAAATTGCGACTTTTTATAACTCCCACCTGTAAATCCGCATTAGAGGGTTCTAGGGCGCGTTCATGCTTGATTTTGAAGGTAGAATGAGCGATCTGAAACGCTCATCGTAAACGCTCATCGTGATCGCAGTTCCACGGTGTAGCTGTTCATGCTTTCTTCTCTGGCTCATCCAGGCAATTCTCCTTGTGTGGCCTTGTGTGACCTTCACTGTGCATGCTACGTAGACCCACTAGAGGTCAGTGCGTTGACCCCATTTAAACGCGTTTACAATTGTAAACGCATCTTTTTGTGAGTTTACGATCGGCGTTCGTGATCGCCGTTTTTCGGTGATTCTACAAAAGTGAGCATGAACGCAATCGTGTTTTAAACTAAACACGTAACAGATGCCTGATTCTGGCCGTCAAAATCAAGCATGAACGCGCTCTTAGACAAACTATTGTGCAAATGGTATTAGTGATGGGTTAATAAAGGAAAAAATACCTCTGTGTATTTTAGTATTGATCTCTTCTGATATTCGTGTTTCTACAGATTATTGTAACCACATCGAAACTGGACTGTAGTCTGACAAGAGAGTGATGGCTGAATAAATGCGAAAGTACTTTTTTGTATAAATAGATGCCACTTGAAATATTGATACATGCATATATTTTCATGAGACTGTTTATCGACAAAAGTAAGTCGGTGATTTTTAGTATGATTTGTACATGCATCTTATATTCTTGTTTCTACAGATTGTAACCACAGATGAACACATGAACTTGAGGACGATCGAACAACATCCTTTCGACAAGATCCCAGCGTTCCACACCAGCCATCAATGTGGAAGGCCACAAGCTGACATTCCCTAATGATCAAAGAAATCATAGCTGTACTTGGAACGACTGTCTAGTTTTCTGGTCAATTGCTTTGGGACGGATCGCTTGGCAATTTTTGAGACACAAGGAACGATGCCATTGTCATTTCTAAAGATTACGAAACTAGATGATACACACCTCTTAATTCATTTTGAAACAAGACCAGTTTTTGAAAGGTAATATCAATTTAAAAAAAAACAGCCTGAGCTTTGACGCGTTCACCCATCTGATGACACAGTGGATGATTGCAATGGAGAGCATTGTAATATTGTGGATCTGCTGTATGCTAGCATCTTCATTAACGATGGATTCCATTGGACACACTGGAGTCGATGCTGCAGATTTAAGAGGGGTACCGTGTCATTATGATATTACCAGCGAAGGATTGAAAGCCACTTGTTCACACCGCTATCTGACAGCGGTACCTACTAACCTCACTCATGATATCACCGTGTTAGATCTCACTCAAAACCAACTGAACAAATTGGACAACACATCTTTCACGAGCCTTCCACATTTGAGGTACCTATATCTTCAGTCGAACAATATGAGTACCATCGAGTCGGGTGCGTTCCAATCTTTGCCTGAGCTTTATTTGATATCGCTTTTAAATAACAATTTCACATCTCTGCCAACTAATATTTTCTCCAAGAATCAAAAGCTGCAAATTGTTGATCTCACAGCAAATCAATTTGTTAGTTTCCCTGGAAACGCATTGGATTCTGTGTCTTCGTTGACTCAACTGCGCTTTGATGAGAACTTTTTGTCAAGACTAAACTTTACAGGATGGAGAAGCAGAAACATGACTTCGTTTGTATTAAATGACAATCGTTTCTCTTCCTTTCATGAAGACGATTTCCTTCCCCTCAAGGAGACAAGAATTGACCAGATATCATTCACCAAGAACAACCTCACCTCACTACAGAATGGTTTGTTCCAACATCTTGAGGGCGTGCGAGAGATGAGCCTAACGAGCAATCATATCCATAATTTTAGCCTCCATTCATTTCTGGGAATGTCCTCTTTAGAAACTCTATATGTGGATACAAACGTGATATTAGCAATTAAACCGCTAGCCCCTCTACTAAATCAGACAAATGTGATGCCTAACTTGACCTATCTGGACTTACAGGGCAATCGTATCCCTTCAATTCCCCCTCGTGCTTTCTGGGGTTTGGGCAATCTTATCAGACTTGATATACACCAGAGTCGCATAAAAACTTTGCAAAATGATACATTTCAAGGACTCGAGTCACTGGAAATTCTTGACTTGACGGGAAACCATCTCTCCTATGTCACCAAAGATATGTTTGTATTTAGCCCGCGACTTCAATCCTTGATACTATCGAGTAATTGGTTCACGGAGCTGAGTCCAAAGCAGATTGGTGATATAGCATCACTAACCTCTCTTAATTTAGCAAGGTGCGGAATAACTGATTTCAGAACACAGAGCAGGGGATGGAATCTGCGAAATTTAAAATCCCTGGATATATCGTATAACCGACTTGTGCGTATTGACAAGAACTCCTTTTATGGAATGCCCAACCTCACAACTCTCGATATATCCAACAACCGATTATTAACAACAATTGAAAATGGAGCTTTTGCATCAATTGGCCGTCTTCAGAGTCTGAGTTTGTCACATTTGTCTTATTTGGGTCAGTTGCATAGTCCGTTCACGAATCTGAATGAGCTTACAATACTGGACATGTCCTATACGTCAGTCGCATTGTCGTATGAACTCTTTACAGGGTTGTCCAATCTTAGGAGATTGAGTATGCGGGGATCAGGGCTAACAGCTTCCAGCTTCTGGGACTCCCATACGGAAGATCTTCCGGTGCTGTCTGCTCTTCCAACGTTAGAACGTCTCTATCTCAAAGGGAACAAACTGGACAGGCTAAAACCGGGAACATTTCAAGGTCTCCAAAACCTACATAATCTTGAAATGGATAATTCTGATATCACGTCCCTAAATGAGGACGTTTTCCTGAATCTGACATCGTTAGAGTACCTTTTCATTGATGAAAATCACATCGCAGAACTGACATCTCGACACCTGACCGATCTCAGCTCGTTAGTCGGAGTGCATATAAAAAGCAACGAGATCAAAGGCTTAGCTTCAGACGTTTTCTCAAATAACCCACACCTGTCATATTTGTATATATCCCACAACCATCTGACCACTGTCAAAGAGGGTACAGTTCTACCTAGACAAACACTGGATGTCTCTAACAATCCTTTCAGTTGTAACTGTGAGTTAACATGGTTTATAAATTGGATTAACAAAGCCGAAGTATCTATCATCCATCCTGACCAAACGAACTGTTCATCTGTTTCTCTAGCACCCTTTAAGAATCAGCCCATTCTTGCATTTGATCCCACCGAGGTCTGTGGACCTAAAGTCTGGGTCTACATCATCACGATCTTTGTCATTGTCACCTGTATCATGGTCTGTGTTGTTGCTTATCAAAGGAGATGGTTGATCAATTACAAATTATTCCATCTGAAATTAGTATTTCTTGGCAGACGGGACGACCACGACGGACGAGAGAGGCTCGATTACGAGTACGACATCAACCTTGCTTTCGACGACGATGATGAACAGTGGGTAAGGGGAATATTGAAACCAGGACTCGAAGAACGACTACCTGATTTCAACAGGATCGTGTGCGGAGATGACGACCTTCCGCTTGGAATGTACTACATTGAGGCCATCACCGAAGTCGTCGAGCAAAGTTATAAAAGCATCTTGATCGTGAGCAATAGAGCCGTAGAAAATCACTCGTTCATCAGCAAACTCCGTCTCGCGGTTGACCAAATGAATGAGGTCGAGCTAGAAAAGGTAATTTTGATATTCAAGGAAGACATTCCTGATGGGCGTTTACCTTATCTTGTAAGGCTCTTCCTCAGTAAGAACAAACCGTATTTTCGATGGTCAAAAGATAAATATGGAAAAAAAATCATGTGGGAGAATCTAGTTCGGGAGCTAGGATATAACAAGAAAATGAATGATATATTACCTATCTGAATGTGGTTTGGAATGTCGTATACATTCGTGTTGTTATTTTGCGTTTAATTAAATTTTACTGTTTAAGTCTGCATGTAAGGTTCATCAGAAGTGGGTTTTTTCTTATCTTTTCATTTTTACAGCAAAGAACTGATGGGAGATATCAACTGAAAAGTAGAACTACACATATTTATGCCCATGCTATTTCCAAGAGAAATGATAATGTGTTATTTAGCTTCCAGGCTGAGGTGCAAATTTCTGACTTAAAGTAAGATTATTGTCAAGGCCTTGCTCACACTTGATTATCTTACAAGGTCTCCCCTTTCCAAAGAGGTGCATAACCTTCTGTAACCCTATTCTTTATTTATTTATAATATTTGAAACCTCCGCCTGGTTTATGTATATCGTAGACAAACTTAGGCATTCAGCAAAAAGAATAGATTACAGAAAAGAATTAAAGGAAGAAAGAAAAAGGAGGGAATGAAATCATGAAGAAGGGTATTCTTGATCCCAAAGAAACTAACGGAGAATGACGAGAAATAGAGGGAAATGTGCGTGTGTGCTGTGTATGAGTGCTAAGAAAGAAATAAAGGGATAGAGAGAGAGAGAGAGAGAGAGGAAAAGGATATTTAGGTTGAAGGGAGACTAGAAATAGACATAGGTTTACAAAAAAGATAACAAATAAAGGGAGAGAAATTAAATTGTGTGCATGTTAAGAAAAAGAGAAAGTGATGCAAAGTTATTAAAAGCTTAAATATTTACTTAAGAAAAGTCGATTTTAAACACAATAAGTATATAATCACACACGATGGCGAAGTTTGTCATCAAATCACCTAGAAGATAATTACAAAAAGCGAAGACTTGCAAGAAATCATCTCGAGTCAATTTCAATGCATTATTGCACTGCCCCAACAATTCATGTTCGGAAAATGCAATACGTCATTGTTATGTTCGCACGTTTTAAATGCTGACTCGCAAGAATATTGCAGTTTCCTTGAATTGAGTTTGTTTTAAAGTCTTTTCGATCATGATATAATGATGTACTTACGATTCATACACAACTGCAAAAACGTATAATTGGCAGGCATAATCATGCAAAGACAATAAATGGATAAAACGACAAATATTTTTTTTCCGACTATTTGGTCCTGTATACACTGTCGCTCATAAAGGTTGAATATTTTAGTTTTTACTCCGGTCCCCAACATAAAAAATTCCTCTAGACGGCCATGCATTATGGCTCAAGGCATGGGCACACAGAAGATTTGTTTATGTTGGGAACCGGGGAATTTGCAATAATTTTTTGAAAATTTATTGCATTTTCTGTTTTATTTTTGTATTTATGGAAACTGCCCCCTACCCTAGCCCCCGCTGCGTACAGTCATGGTTCAGTGACAAAGCAATGGCGTCGTAACTGTGAGGCCCCAGGATCAAAACCGTGTCGATTTGCTATATTAGTGCCCTTTTGTGGGGCATTAATCCTCATTACTGTCATTTATGACTTAAGGGCACAGGTCCCCTAGTTGATAAGCATAGTAGCATACACATGCTTTAGCAGTCCCGCAAAACACACATTGGCAAATTATTATTCAATACAATCTGAGAATGTATACTATTATCTAGATCTATTATTTTTAAATTATTTTAAAAATAATTCCATAAATTGGGATTTAAAACAAATATTCCACCTTTATGAGCGACAGTGTACAAACTTTTTTCTTGAATGACTGTGTTTCCTAATCCTCAATAAGTTTGTGGTTCTCTTAAGGGAGAGAGATAGAGATCAAGGCCGTGTGTATGTGTGTGTGTGTGGGGGGGGGGGGGGGGGTCGGCATGTTGTGAATATGCCCGTGCCTGTTTCTGTCTATGTACCAACCAGACATTATCAGACATCGTTCTAGGATAATTACCCCCTGGATAAATACCCCCGAACAAATACTCCCCGGCCAATTACTAGCGTGAAAATTACCCCCCCCCTCCACGACAATTACCCCCTGCGTCATGCAGCTACCCCTGGAGGACAATTACCCTCCGCAAATTCCCCTCTACGACAAAAAAAACGTGTGTGTGCGTGTAGGGAGGTAGCTTCCTCCACTCCCACAATAACAATACTGTACACATTTATCTTTTTAAACAAAAATATAAGTTAAAATATCATTAAAAATGTCGAGTCGTTACTTTGGCTTATTTATTATAACAGGTACAATTCTGCTTCATAAATCAATGAGTTGTTGCGTAAAAAAAAATATTGACTGTCTAACGAGTCGCATCTTCACCGGATATCTTTTAGTTAACAAAACAAAGCAAGCAAACAAAAGAAAAGAAAACGAACGGACGTGACATCAACCAATTAGAATCGGTTGGAGCTTTATTTATTTATTTATTTTTTTGGAGCGTTATTTAACCAACATTCCTATGGTACACGTTTTATAAATATACATACAAATTATGTGAACTAAATCATCGATGCTATGAGACGTATTATAGTGTATTAATTTGTCATTATTTGTCATTATTTGAATTGATAGCAAATGCTAAAAGGTGAAATTTACCCTATTGATTTTTACATTGGAAATTGTTTCAGCCATTAACTACACGTGTTTTGTATTTTTATAACGGTACAATACATTACTACAATATGAAGCAATCAGTGGCGGATCCAGGGGAGGGGGAAACGTGATTTTTACCTTTTTTTTTTTTTGGGGGGGGTGCAATTTTTAAATTTTCGAGGGCCAAAAAAAAATGTGCTCTCTACTCCCCCCCCCCCTCCCCCTACTGAGCGACTTTTCGGCCGGCGCGATTTTTAAATTTTCGGGAGCTAAACAAAAAAATGTTGGGCCCCCTCCCCCCTAAAAAAAAAACCTGGATCCGCGCCTGGATGCAATGTAATATAAAATTGTAGCAAAGGGAATCGTGGAACCACATCAAAAGAGATACTCTGTAAGTCTTTGCAACTGATTTTATATCTTTGAGAAAGTGTTGAATCTCATCCCTAAACTTCGAAATAAAAGAAATATATTTCTGATATACTAGCAGTTGCTTAAAGATTCCTCGAATATTTACATTTTCAAAACTAAAGTCTCGGATATTATGTATCAAATATTTCCTGCAAATTCGAGGGCAATATATTAGCAGAAAGAATATAATTGTCACAAACTATAAGGGCCAGGTAATTAATGATTTAGAAATCCTCAGAGAGATTGTAAGATACTAATCTCTGTTTTGAAAGGACAACCTCGCCTTCACTTGACGATTGAGATATGACGTCAGAAGTGATGTTTATTGGTTTAATCTTTGGTCTGCCGAGTGGGGACGTAGCAATTTAGATGCACATAACATGATTCTCTATTTGGGAAAGTCATCTTTCTGACATGCTATCGATAATTTAGTACTCCAGACATGCACAATTATGTTGTGAGTATAATTTGAACACACGATGTTGATAATTAATATTTAGCCGTCAGTTTGAATTGGGTTTTGGTTTTGTACCGTTCATAGTTTTTAGATAATTTGATGTAAACAATTTTTTCATGAAAGTGATACGTACGCACAGTAACTTTGTATGATGCATTACACGTGCAGTTACAAAGTATAGTACATGTGTGTAATGTAATGGTCTGTTGTACAGATCGTGTTAATTGTGTTATTTGAATATCATTTATATAAGAGGCAGTTGTACAAAGTAACATAATGAAGATAAATTCCGGTAACTGTAGATATGTATAAGATATAAAGAGGAATTTAGGGTAATTTGTGTAGATCCAAAAGGGTTGTTATATCATGCACATAAATAAAATAGTCAATAGTGAACAAAGGAAATTCAAGCAGCCATAGTTTCTGGGTATCGTAAATTTATTATGCATTTATTATGATGCTAAGGAAATAGAGTATAATCTTTAGGGGCATTGATATTTCCTTTTGGGACAAGTGTACTATATAATTTTAGTGAAAATTCAATAATCATACAACTAATTTGATGCAAGATTGTTTGTAAACACAGTTTAAAATTGACATATTATTTATGATAATTGTTTAATTCTGATTAAATTTCAGGTTGAACCGCCTTTTGTTAACGGTATCACTACAAGCTTGAAATTGTAGCTCTTTATCGATGTGCTGTCAGTCTGATTGGTTAGTTATACGCTACAGAGATATTGTCATAAAATTTATATAACAAACTGTATTTATAGAACATATCTTACAGCCTCTTAGCAAATGGAAAAGTATATACACAATTATTTGCAGTATGTAATTTTATGACACAATTTGAATTAATATAAGATGAAACCGAATCGAGGAAGTAAACCATGTAGTTTGATTACATATATAACATCATTATGATATAATTCATTTTTCATCTGAATGGATTATACTATTTTATAATAGGGTAAAGTAAGTTTTACATCAAGCATAGGTAATTTTAACCGACATAGGAGCGACATTCCATCCGAAGATTATTACCAGTACAAGAAAAGGTTGATAGCAGGCTCCGAGTAATATAAAAAGCACTTTATAATATCAATATTAAAATGGAAACGCCATGTTATAAACAAAGGGGTGAACTGAAAATTTAGATTAAAATCGGACTGATCACAAGAGCTCAGACTTTCAGACACGATATCATACAATCCTAACGCCAATACAATTCAATAACTTAGATCTATTAATAGAAAAAATGGATAATGCTGCTCATTATGATGACTGACAGATAATGCTTTGCATTAAATCTTTGAAAGGTGGCGATATTTTATACACAAATTTTGGTCATGTAAAGGAAGGAATGAAACGCACTGAATTCGTCTCAAAAGTTCACTGAGTATCAAAATACTTAATATTCTAGAGTATATAACATGAAGAAACTTCGACTGCTGAAGGCAAAGCTATCGCACCACTCTGTCAATAATAGTAATCTCACGGCACATCGTCCATTACGAATTGTGAAATAGGAGGCACCCGCTCATCTGTCCGTTACCTTTGTTTAATTTTATTTCGTATCTATTTCAAAACCCGTGGTGAAAAGCGTGAAATACTAGTAACACACTGGAGCGATCTTTACTGGTGGTACTTAATTAATTTTTCACGTATGCAGAAACATTCTCCACAGAAGACTTGATTGGTTAGATACAACTTTGTTGACTACCCGGTAGACTCAAATGAAGTTCTAATGGTCAATGCTCACAACTCTGAAAGAAGGGACTACTATCAAGTGCGTGTCTGATATAATTCTTTTTTTATGATAAAAATATATATCTGACATTTAACAGCTCGTGTCAAAATTCTATAGTGTCATGAGATGCAATTTAAGTAAAAAAAAAAGGAATCAAACATGATGCCAAACTACTCATTTGTGGAGTATCATTAGTACAACTCGGGGCACATGCCCGACTGCCTGTCACCTTTATTAAATTGCATTAAATTGCATTTTTTCCCATTTATTTCACAGACCGTGATTAAAAGTTGTAAAAAATACTAGTTGCACCTTGGCCTGATATTAACTGGGGGTACTTGATTAATAAATCCACTTACGACGAAAACAGTATCCTCAGAAGATTTGGGTATGTAGTCCTTCATCGACTAGTATCAACTCTGGTAGAATGGAGTACTTTCAAGTGTGTGTCTGATATAATTCTTGTTACAGTAAAAAAATATATATATCTAAAACGTAACAACTTGTGTCATGAGATGCAATTTAACTACGAAATGAATCAAAGATGATGCCAAACTACTCATTTGTGGAGTATCATTAACAATAATGATCACACTTCAGTGATCAAGTATGCATTCTGCATATAGTATTATACAGACAAAATAATAACCAAGCTCTAATACAGCCTCGCTCAGATATGACACCGCAAAAAACCGCTTGTTTTATCTTCATGGAGACATAGAGCGCAATAATATGCTTCACATTTCGGTATCTTATAACACAGAGCTCAGTAAATAAAGTAAGAAAATTGTTTTGCGCTGTTGCCATTCATTTACAAGAAAAAACTATTATATGCTTTTGCGGTGGTTTACAGCGCCATATCTGAATGAGCCTTAAGGGTAAAAGTTCTTTTAGATCAGCCCACTGAACTGCTGCATCATCGATTCCGCTGACGGACGTTTGGATGGGACTTTATGAAAGCATGGCTTCAGAATCTTCTTGATGTTTGGTTGGAGTTTCTCCACATTAGCTGGCATGACATCATCGCCCATGAACCTACAGAGTAGAGCCATTGGATTGATAGTCTTGGGCCAGACGGATTGTCCCGAGAAGAACTCGAGTAATGTACAGGCTAACGACCAGACATCGGATGCTGATGTGGCGGACATGTTACCATCCTCAGATGTGCCGCATTCAGGAGGCATGTACGTGAATGTACCCCTGGCAGTAACGAGGGTGGCACGTGACATGGTTGACCTCGTCTTGATGTGCGCAAGACCAAGGTCACACAAATATGGCTTCTTCGTCTTTGATTCAATCTGAGCGTAACAGGATGTGGAAAAACAGAACGAATTGGTGAAGCTTGTCAAAAGAATGCATTTCATATTAACAATATTCACATGGAGTAATATGCTGCAAGGTTGTATGCATTACTTAAACAAATTTTCATGATGTCGGTATTTACAATTTTTTGTGTGCAAAATGCAAGCTTTGAATATATTTTATTCACATCCTCCATGAATCAATCAAAATTTGATATAAATGAACGAAAATGATAACATCAATGAAATAGGAGACAACAATGCCCTTCTGGCTCTCAATGATTAAACTTGCCTAGACGGGATGTATGATGTGATAAAAGACGGAGTAAGGGAGACTAGTCAGAGAGAGATAAAATGATGGAGGCTTAAGCCCGTCTGTACTAGTTTGGCCAAGGAGATTATACATCCATGCAAGGTCACTGACATGTGGTTATCTTATCCAATCAGCTCTCAATTAACATAAAAAAGAGGATCATGAGGGGACCAACAGGTACCGATTAGGCATTATTTGCTATATAGAGGGAGCAAGTAGATATAAGTAGTGCAGTGGGGCTTTGAATAAAAAGAGAGAGAGAGAGAGTGAGAGAGAGAAATGGAGGCAACAGTAAAAGGAAGTGAGGAAGAGGATGAGGCAAAGAGATAGAGAGGTGAGGAAAACATGAGGAAAGAAGACTTACAATAACATTCTGTGGTTTGATGTCGAGATGGAGTATCTTACAGTGGTGGAGAAAGGTGACAGCTGACAGAAGATCCCTAGATAAGCGTACCTTCAGCGTGAATTCATAAGGATTGCCATCCTGCAACAAAATTTTATAGAAGGGACGGAGAGTAATGAAAGGTGGTCGAATGATATAAAAGTATATGAGGATAACTTTTAATGAAAACTCATACCAGGACAAGTACCCATATGACAATAATAACTCTGAATAACTCTTTTCCTACACAACTACCTCTTAAGAAAAACTACCTCCAAGGACAATTATCCACATTACCCTCAGACCTCGTCATCATCCTCATCTTCCTGTGGGTCCCTCCATAAGGGGGGCGGGGGGGGGGGGGTCACATCTCCTCGTTAACACTCTCCATCTCGTCCTATATGTTGTCATGTCCCAGTCAACTTCTTCATAGTCTTCCTTAATACAATCTATCCACCTCTTCCCGGGTTCTTTTTGTCTTTCTCCTTTCTCTCGCTGTCCATCTAATCAGTTCATCTTTCCCTTTCACATATGCAGTCTGCTCTCTCTAATCTTCGCCCTCAGACAAGTAGGGGGTAATTAAGAGGTGCCCGTCCAGGATAATTGTAGGACGATTTTTTGAGGGTGTGGTGGGTAGCTGTCTGAGGATAAATGTCCTTGGAAAGAGTTCTTCTAGAATTGTTTCATAATTTTTCCGTCATAAAAGTTGGTATTTAAATGACTGAAAGAAAACATGATATTTCTAAAATTTCTGCCTCTGTAAAGTTTGGTTGACACTTTAAAATTGATAATGTCGTGCAGTAACATTCATCCAAATGTTCATCAATTAACGTGGTCTTTTTCATACCTGAAAGATGACTGTACCGAGATTACTCCCGTCGATTAGCTGCATGACGATCATAGCACATCCTGGTGTACGTTGATGGCCAACCGCCATCAGCTGAACAATGTTTGGATGGAGGGCACGCCTGCATAGAAGAAAACAAGAGTCCCACAAAATGAGTTGAAAAATGCTCCTTTTCAATTTCCCAACACTTTAACCCTTAAAGTTAGGAGAATCTCTTTAAGATACCAATTTACACCAAGATAACTACAGAATGACTCCATGTTCGATTCCATTTGCCATGAAAATACACAAAATTGTTTTTGCTTGTGACATTTCGAATATGGATTACTCTTGAAGGGAAACCCTACAAACTTTTATCATATAGTTTGTTTAAATGTTAGTCTAAAGTTTGTACAGATTATTCAAACTAAACTGATGAAAGCTATTATTCCCACCCCATCAACAGGTATACATTTCTATGGGTTTATTTCTAATGACATGCTCTATTTGCCAAGAGTCATGGTTATTCTAATCTATCTTTTCTCCGTGGTCGAGGTCTGAAAGAAAAGGAATAAAATTCTCCCTCTTCCCATCTGTGTAATCAAGGGAATTCATGTTTCACTATGATTGGTAAGTGATATTATATGAGGTTGGTAAAGAAGATGGAATAGCGTACTTATGGATTGCAACCTCCTGCTCAACTTCAGAATCTTGACTACCCTCCCTGTTAAGGAGCTTGACGGCAACAGGTGTACCTCTCCATTGGCCCTTCCAAACCTCACCAAAGCCACCTTTCCCAATAATTTCTTTCAACTTCACCTCGTTCTTAGGATCCTTTATGATGTGGACTCCACAGAAAGAATCATCTAGGAAAATAAATTCAACCAGAAGATGCATCGGAATTAGCAAAGCTTGCATTCACTAATACCATTGTGGGTTTTAGTATAACAAACATAACTAAGTGCTTTTGAGCTCACCTTCACTAGACATGTGTGTGGTAATATTTCACACTTTAAACATTATCTTCAACAAATGTTCAACAACATTAATTCGCAGGTAGCAGAAATGCAATCTTGATTTAACAGTAACTGCTTAGAATGGAAAATGCAATAATAATTGACCAAGCTAATTCCTACTGCATTAATATACATAAAGATAAGGGAAATGTAGTCATTGAAGTAATCTTCACTAAGAGCTTCCTCTATGTGTGATCATATCCACTATGAAAGATTTTCCACACATGTCCATTCTCTATTGATAGTAAGTCACTCCATTAATACAGGGGTATGGTGCGCAACTCTGTTATACAGACTTCAAGACATGTCCATACTGTATAAGAGTAAGTTTAGTGACAGGGGCACGGTGCCTAATCTGCAATGAGATAAGACTTTAAATAAATGTCCATGCTATACATGTATATGAGTAGGTCACTCCATTACACCAGGGATAACGTCCATGATCTCCATGAGAGACTTTACACACATGTCCATACTACATGAGAGCAAGTCATTTCACTGTGAAAGGGATATTTCACACACTTTCCACAAGTTATTCCATCATTTAGATACATTACAGACAATGTCCATACTACATAAAGAGTAAGTCTTTCATTAAGTAAAAGGGGTAAGGTACACAAACTCCGTCATCAGCGATTTTACACACATATCCATGCGATATAAGTATACAAGTAAGTCACTCCATTGTGACAGGTATAAGGTGCATTATCTTTAGTATTTATATTCTGTATAAATGTAGGTCATTCAATTATGGTGGATTAAGTCGTAAAAAACGCTATTATTAGAGAATTTACATGCATTTCCATTCTGTATGAGAGAAAGTCACTTCATAATGACAGGTACGTGGTAACGTGCAGAGGGCAGGTAATCCCACCGCTGCCACCATCATGTAACTAAATAACAACTAAATAACAACTAAACGACTAATGACACGAAGTTTGGGTTAACAGTGGCTTTTAACTGAAATGGTATGGTAACAATCCACTTGACATTCCCAAGACATCTCTATTTAATGGTTTACTCCATCAAGAGGCTTTACAAACGCATTCATACTGTGAGGATTGAACGTGTTTGTATGATCATATAATGATTATTTAATGAGATATTGTGTGAAGGGCTTATAATTGTGTAAGAAGGTGCGTCGTATAGAGTTTTGTTTTGTTTGTTGTTATTTAATTTCCTCTTTCATTAATCAATTGACGCCAGGCCAGATTTCACGAGATAAAGCAGTGAAGAAGAAAATAAAGATCATATTTCTACATTCAATATACCTGAAAGTGAACTTCTTGGTGATGCCGAAGGATCATTGTTATCCCGTTGGTCTACACTACTCCCGCCACTAGAAGTAGATGGCTTCCTCTCTCGACCACCGTCATTAGCTTCTACGTGAACTAAGCTGCTGTCACCAAGCTCCTCTCTGAAACGGAACAACATACATACACCAATTGAAAGGTCAATGTGATTTATGGTAGTGGCGGCAAAGGAATTCTCACAAAATCATACAAAGCTTCTACTGAATCTGTACAAAAAACAGAAATTAATGAAATCTGTGAGACGATTGTGAACAAAGAATAGGGAAATAGAGCAAGCAGTGGTGTTTTCCAATAAGTTTTTTCCTTAAGTCGTTTATATTTTGCTGGTCGATCAATATATATAACATAAGAGGCAATATACCCAGAAAGCAAAATCAACTTCAAATATTAATTAGGATTTAACAAATGTACATTCTCATAATACACATCACTAACCGTTGTCATACTTGTAATGACTATTCCAAACATACGGTAGAAGGCACGCAATAGAAACCAAGAGAAGATAGAACAAAACGAGACATATTGAGAGAAAAAAGGGGGTGGGGCCTCCTCTCTTTACTTAAAAATGTAATTATAAAGTATGCTTGATAGTCATAGAGGGTTTTTAACTTAAGATTTAAAAATAACATCTAATTGAGAGTGTTGTCTTCCATGTGTATTCCGAGCGATTCTCCTATTTCTCCTAATAGTCTTCTATAGCTAGTCTTCTTCACTTTTCATCCAACAAACTTTGCTGTAACTTTGGAAGTAAAAGTCTCACAAAGTACTTCGGTAATATTGATCAAAAACAAAAACAATTGCTTCTGTACCTTTCCAGCTTGCGAGCGATGTGCTCCAGAACTTTATGAATCGCAGCCTCTTTCAGATAGTTGAGTGGTGTGTGTTTCTTGAGATTAGTCTGACTGATGCTTGCACCCTCTTGTACAAGATAACACATTAGAGCAGTAAGAGGCTTGGTAATTCCATTGTCACGATACTTCTTTCGGAACTGGAAGATATAATACCAAAGACAAGAAGAGAAACACAGTTTCAGAACAAATCCAACGATTTCTTGATTCGTTAACATACAAACTGAATAATCAAAGGGAATTAAAAAAAAAAATAATAATAACATTATGGAGGAATCTGTGAATGCATTTTAAAATGGATAGGCCATATTTCTGTATTATAAACTTGTGGAATGATAAGGAGATTTGTATTACCCGATCACCAGACATTTACACAATACCGGATCTCCAAGAACATGATTGCAAACATAGCCAAAAATCAACCTTAATACAATTTTCATAGGCCTGTCTGTCACTTGTTGCAAACATTACAATAAAATATTGCATAATTCAAATATTATATCTTAAGTCAAAACCAAGGTCTATTTAAATGGCCCTTTAGCTGATTTCTTGCAAATCAATGTGGTCATATTCAAAATGATTTTGAAGGAAAAGGAAAAGTCCAAGAGGTTGAGAATATTTACCGTTCTCAGATTATCAGTATCAGGAATATCCTGCCCCTGTCGGTACTTCATCACTGCGATATGAAGGCAACTGTCCCCATCACCATCCGATGAGTTGATATCAGCACCGTGCTTGATCAGGTCTTCGATGATGGCAGTACGACCTTTGGCGATTGCAAGCAACAGCGGCGTTTGATGCTGCTCGTTGTAAAGATCAATAGCACAATGCCCCTATGAAGAGAGAGATAGAGAGAGAGAGAGAGAGAAAACTGAAAACTACTGGTAGAGGTCAATGATGGAAGAATATAAATATATAAAGTTATAAGATTCCGCTTGAGTGCATTGACTACAAAAACGTAGCGGTTCAAAATGATTGGAAATACCTCTGTGATAAGTATTTCTGCAATATTCTGATTGCCATTATGAACTGCGAGGTGAAGAGCCGCGTAGCCGTCATCCTTCCGGATGTCAACCAGAGATCGTTGTTTCTTGATCAAAAGACGAGTAGCACTAAACAAACAAAACGAAACAGATTTAAGGTTATTACTTACAGTACAACCATTCTCAGTATCTCTGTTATTTGTGTTTCTGAAAATGTGACACAAGATTCACTAAATAAAAACACATGTTATATACAAAATATGGAATAATTCCTACTCATAACCAGTCATGAGGTATATATACATACAAATTCTCCCATACCTACCACCCCAAAATCTGAGAGCATTAGATCAGATTAGTGGAACTACATGTCTAAAGTATTATTGAACTTTGCAGTTTGTAATGAATCAAAAGAAGCAAGGATAACACAGAAAAAGATTAGATAAACCACATGTATGAATATATTAGGAATATGCTCAAACAATATCAGTTTTAATATATTTCATATACCATTTACAAAATCTATATCGGTTTCATGTCACACTGTTGAGGTATTGTTAAAGTTTTAATTTACAAAACTCACTGTGGATTGTCTGACAAGGCAGCGTGATGTAGCGGATTGAATCCTCTTTTATTATTCAACTCCAAGTCGATGTTTCTTGCATTTATCAGGAGCTCAGTAATCTCTTTCTGAGTTTTTCGGATGGCGTCATGCAAAGGGGTGTCTCCAACATTGTCCTGAAATTATATATGTTTTTGTAAATTTCTTTCAACAATTGGAATTCCTAATGCCAGAATGCGATGTACCACTGTAATGTAAAGTAAATTAGGAAACTCATGCATATTAAAAATCAACTTATTTACACGTCTATAAGCATGGAACAACACAGTGCTTCAGTATCCAATCAACTAGAAATCAGTTTCCATTCGAAATAACATGAATTTAATGTAAATGTGTGGACTTACATCAGACCTTTTCATTCAGAGAGTTTATTTATGTCTAATTCTTGTACATAACAAATTTGTTTTCAGAATATCAATGGGATTTTACATACCTATAACCTTTAATAACCATATTCTTTTTCTTCAATGCAATCAAAACCAATATATCCACATATGGATTTAGGAGTGAAATAACATTTTGGTGAAGATATTTTGTAGCATTAAAAAAAAAAATCCTGGTTGGTCGTGAGGCATCGTGATGTTGAGACAATGAAATATATCTTACTTTTACATTTGGATTTCCACCTTTTCCAAGGATCAGTCTCACACACTGAGTATGGTTCTTCGACGCCCCGATATGAAGAGGACTTCTTCCTCCCTTGACATTCGTAGTGTTGGGGTCAGCTCCGTGGTCTAACAGGTACTTCACAATTCGTGCATTATCTCTACCAAAATTAATTTAAATATAAAGCAAGATTAAAAAAACAACAACCTGCAAATGCATGGTGATTATGATTTGCTTTCATCATGTGTGAGTGCATCCATTTAGGAAACCGTGGGTTGACTACCACTTCCATTTAAATATTGGGCAAAGGCAAATTTGACATGAACCAGAGGGCTGGAGATGAAAAATATCAAATGATATAAACTTCATCTTCTTCAAGTAGTGATTTTAATTTAAACCATTGCCAAAGCCTGAGGACAAAGTGCCTTGATAGGAATGATGGTGATGATTTATAATTGATTGTTGAACTCACTGATGGACAGCATTTGCTAGGGCAGTGTCACCGTCGTCATCTTTGACATCGAGTTTGGCTCCATTCTTGATTAGTAACTCAACTACCTGAAAGTGGTCTTGATAAGCAGCTAGATGAAGAGGTGTGTTATCCTGGACAACCACATTTACCTATGCAAAGAGTGAGAAAAAAAACATATGACAATGATACATGAGCCAGTAAGGAGCTGATATTGAATTGGGTACGTTTAAAAAAAAAGGAGTTGAAATAAAGGGTGGGGAGGAATGACCATTAGGGATAGAAATATAAAGAGGGAAAGGAGTCATATTTCTTGTGATCTGTAGCAGAACCAACCTATCCATGTATGGAAGTCCTACAAAAATGTTACTCAGTAAGACATAATCTGCCTTTCAATGTAAATTCAATGTATACACTAATATAACGTTGCACTTTGCAAATGATAAAACATACACTATGAAGTGCTTTTTACGAAATAAAATAAAAAATATTTACAAATCCTTTGTTTTTCTTGAGGGCTTCAGCAACCCGTTTCACATCACCCTCCATAACGGCCTTGATGAACTCCTTGGCACTCTGAGCAGTTACTTCTCCATCCTTAGTTGCTGCCTCGGTTGCTGCGGCAGTCATCATCTGTCGAATTTCATCTGAGTCAACGAGCCCAAGCGGATCGAGCAGCTGCTTCAGCAAATGCGCCATAACACCTTCCAGAAAATTACAACAGGAATGGGAGACAGAAAATTCAGCAAAACATTGTCAAGTTGATTTCTTAAAATCTGTAATATCATGTCCAACAGAAACCATTTCTGATTCAGTATACATGACATGCCTGTAGGTTGAATACCAGACAAAATGGTCTTTTCATTTCTTCCCAGCCAATTTCATCGCTATTTATCCACTCTTATAAACCTACAGCAATACTTGTGATTTGTGGCATGTCAATTTGATAAATGAAATGGAACATATAACATATATATTCAGATAAATACTCTTGAGTAAATGAATAGAAAAACAGGCCTAATGTAGTGGCAGGTTAAAACTGTGTAATAATCATGCTTTTAGAAATGCTAAGCCCATAAGTTCATGGACTTTAAAGGATATTTTAAGATATAGTAGAAATACAAAACACAGATGCAAACGAATTTTTATACTGGAATTAAAATAAAACAAAATAAAAACATCATTTACTACAATTAGATTTAGGCAGAAAGGATTACTGTATAACAAGTCCATACATCACGGTAAGCCTATACGTTCAGAGCACAAACCACTAGTATTACCACTATTACATTTTACATTACTTTTAGTACCTGCTCTGATGTCTTGCTCAAAGATCCCCTCTGCCCCTGTCCCCTGTTCTACCATGCTTAGTGCTTCCGGGTTAAAGGTCCAGAATGCTCCACCCACATTGACCTTGACATCACCATCTGCATCGATGTTAAGAACACGCCCTTCCTCACCAAGAGCCTGGATTCGGGTTAAATGAATTGAATTGTGTTTGCTTTTATCAGCTTCATTTAAAAAACAAACATACATAGGCAGCATACGAGTACCAAGTCAATGAATGTATTCCCAAAATATAATGAACATTTGAAGAATTCGAAAATGCACAGTAACATATCGCTTAACAAATTTTTGAATTACATAATATAACAATGTCGCGTATAAATGAAGAAAAACCATAAAATGTATATTTATGTGCCTCAGAATAGTTGGATGTGCTCAAAACTAAATTAAATAATTTGCCTATGATCATGTATTCCCTACTGAATAAAGATGAAGATCAATATGATAGACGTCATTTTAAAGCAATGCTTTCGGAAACTACAAATTAATGCACGAATCCACATACTTGATTTACCTGTGGTTACATAATCAAACACATAAAGGGTTATTCAGGACTTTGTCTTTAATATCGCTCCATCTCGTTCAGTAACAAATGGGTAACTCCAATTTCAAGCAAAGGGTCTGAAAATTAACAGCAATCCATCTGAAGCTTAATTTGTATCTTAAAGCTACCTTATTACAAATTATAGACATTTACAAAGTAAAGTTTTCAATGAGTGCTGAACAAGTTCATTGTTTTAATTTACTGTGTACATTACAAATTGGTCATTACTTAATGAACAATTAGTTATTTGTACAGTAATATCTGACCTTTGACATCTTACTGTTCCATCCTCCATGTTCTTTCTGCAGCTCCTTCACGGCAGCCTGGTCAGACATTACGCGCACTTTGTCTCCGGTGTTGAACGATGGCAGCTTTAATAAGAACAAAAACGAAAATTGTAAAGTAACAACATTTACAATAAATTACAATAATATTACTGCTTCTACTTGTACTACTGCTACTAATACTACTACTACTGCTACTACTGCTACTACTACTACTACTACTACTACTACTACTACTACTGTTACTAATACTTCTACTAGTATAACGCAATCAAAATAATTCGCCATTTAATGGGAATTAACTGTTTTCAAGTTTTCAGGTACTAGAGATTTAAAAGACCAAGTATGTACCTTAGTGACTGCAACAGCGTTAAAGATCAACGTCTGTCCATTCGGGTACTTGATCCTGACGTCACTGTTTGCCGTGAGACTCGCCAACCGGCCTACTTTTCCTATGAACTAGGAAAATAAGGAGAGAATGAGAGAGAAAGCAAGAACACATAATGGTTTGATTCAGTATGATTTGCGAGTTTATGATAATGGGACGGTGTGAAAGAAAGTAAATTATAAAAAGAACATTGTCTGTTTAATTGTAGCCAGAAAGGCTTATACTTCAACACAGAGTCAACACTCTCATGGCTCTGAACCCAGGATTTCCTTGTTCTAATTAAAGTCAAATGCTGTTTTTCAGTTGTCATCAATATTTATATTTTACCATGGTTACGGTCGTAATTAAATGTATTACATTAACTAATACGTCCTACAGACTCGACGCTTCCAAGAAGGAGTAAAGATTCTTAATGCCTTATTCTACTTATTACTTGTTTACTATTTAATTTAAAAACTTTACAAAACAAAGCAAGTATAAATATAATTACGAAAATATCAGTGAATCATCATTAAGAAATACTACAATTTGAGAACGAATGAATGATTGCACTGGTGCATTAAAACTTCACGAGGACACTAGAATTTGGAAGTAGCAGAAAGGCTGAAAAAGAAGGAGTGCTGGGACAGGATGAAAGAGACAGGGTACAAACGAGAAGAGAGAACTGGATAATTATAGCAAGAGAATCTAACCATAAAAGCCATAGTAAAATGGAGAGTAGAATTTTAAACTTCTTTCCCTATGTCAGTTGCACCGAGGCGCCATTTGCTGATGCAAGACTACGCCAGGTACTCAAGTGATCTTTAAACGAGATATTAAAAAAAGAATATTGCAAAATGGACAGCTCAAATACTGCGTTACATTACTGGCAAGTGAGTACATATTGCTTTCGTGGGCATTACTAGGGCAATAAATAACGCAATCGAAAGTGACGCCTCGTTTGAAATCTCCTTGGTCAAATGAAATAGCAAGTGATATATCTTTTTATAGAAGAGCAATCAAACCTTTTCCATTCCCGACACCCAGCCTCCATGGTTTTCTTGCAGCGGCTTAAGAACATCCTTATCCAACTTCACAACCACTCGGTCACCAATTTCTAATGCGTTAAATTCACCTGTAATAAAGAAATGACGCTACAATGAAGAAGATGCGTTTTTTTTAATAGAAGCATTAATAAAGTTATTTCTTCTACTTTTATCTTCAAACTCCCTGTAATTTACTAACAGGTTAGCTCAATATAGTCCCAATTTTATCTCAATCTCCATTTTCTCCTTCTATATAATGTGTTTATGATAGCAATGAGTTACCCCTACACTTCTCATCTTTTCTCTTTCTCTCTCTCTCTCTCTCTCTCTCACTCTATTTCTATCTCTCTTTCTGTTCTCTAATATCTACCTGTTTCTATTTGGTGGTGGTGGTTATTTTACCCGACTGCTAAGAAAGCATAAATGCTTGTTACAAAGCAACCAGAGGGCCGACGGCTTTAGGTCCACTTGGTAACCATTACCATAGTCCATGTCTATGCTCTACACACTTTTTCACCATAAGCACTCTCAACATGAACGCAATATTTTTAAAGCCTTGCACACTGTACTAGTCAGTTTATAATAATAATAATAATAATAATAATAATAATAATAATAATAATAATAATAATAATAATAATAATAATAATAATAATCTTTTTAGAGTCCACTCCAAATTTCATTAATTTAGATCTAAACCAAAAATGGAAATTATTTTTGCCCAATTGATCGTGAGCCCGGCAGCCACTGAGCAGCGCCAGATCGACGTTGCTCTATCCCTTATTGTTGAACGCCAAACAAGGTAGCAGCAACTCCCGTCTTTTAACGTCTTTTGGTATGACGCGGCCGGGGTTTGAACCTACGACCTCCCGGTGTCGCTTTAACAAAATAAAGTCTTCAAGTTTCAGTACTTGATGCTATTTCCTTCATCTGGTTTTGTATAATTCTCTACTGGCCCTCAAAATGTTAATTTTGTTGAGTGAACTCTGTGTTATCTTTTATGTAAGTAAAACATGTTAATTGTCATAATACCTCTAAACAGGACAATTCATACAGGTTATTGAATGCTCAAAGCCGGCTATGTCTGCATGCAGGTAAGGAAGACATGCATCTATGCAAGCACCAATGAGAAATGTTTAAACAGCACAACCTAATTTGTGGAGACAATCAAATGATAATCTAATTTCATGCTCTCTGTTATTATGTAGACATTAAAGATGATGAATATTCAACTTTTACAATTTATAAAGATTCCCTGGCATGTAATTTACATAGTTTAACTTACCAAATTTTGGCAGATGGTCCTTGTAGTAAGCGTACCCGGATGTTGCCTTAAGGCACTTGATGTCGACTTTCCCATCATGCCCCACGCGGTATTCATAGGCGCCCCCAGCTTCCCAACGAACTGCTATGGCACTGCGCTGGATGTTGGCCCAATTGGCCTCTCGAATTACCACGCCATTATGACCTGACCCACCTGCAGCAAGTATTATTTAATCCAACATTAATGTAATGTATAACGTTATGGAGAAGGGATGCTTCAAGATACCCATATAAATAAAGTCTTTTTGAGATCATGTACAGACTATTATAGGTCTATGTATTACTATTTTTACACAAATAATTATCACTGATTGTACAGGACGTTTTCAACCTTCATTCACCTTTAAAAAAAATGTCCATTCATTATTTCAAAACTGGCAAAATCTTTTCCAACATGTGACCCTGCTACGCAACTTTAAAAATCAAAGCATCAGTTTAAGAAGATTAGAGACGGTAAAAATGTCCTTTGGCAAGACATTGATCTACATTTGCCACACTCCACCCAGGTGAAGTAAATGGGTACCTGGTAGGAATGTATTCCTTGAAACGCAGCGCGTGTAACAGCTGCACTGCTAAAGCCAGGGTAATTATGCTGCATTGTTGTAGAGCGCTTAGAGACTTCTGACAAAGTAAGTGTTAGGTGCTATATAAGCACTGTAATTATTATTATTATTATTATTATTGCAGGAAAAAAAGATTTGCACCCGATCAAACAAGAGCTTTCTGGAGGAAGAGTTTAGGAATTGTCCAAAAGCAAGTGACATGTGAAACAGTAGAATTGATGTATACTGTGAGCTTTTGGAATGATCAAACTGAAAAGAAAGTTACACAATCTTGCTGAAAATCACATGTTCTGCACACTGAAATGGGTTTATGATAATGAGACAATATATGGGAATGTTAAGGGTCGTCCAGATATGAGGCGGTAAACCGCGGCGTTATTTGTATAATGTGTAAATGAATTGCAACTGGGCGCAACAAATTTCCTATGCATCTGCAGTGAGCTATGTGTTATAAGATACAGAAATATGAAGCCCATTACATTTACGTCATCTTAAAACAAAACAAAACCGCGGTTGACAGCGTCATAATCTGTGGCCTAAGATGCATGAGCTTACCGTCCTGCTGCTGCCATTGCCAGTCTCTTCCTCTGCAAACCTTTGCTCCAGGAAACGATCCCTTCGCTTCAGTCTTCCGACAAGCTGCTCTAGGTGACATCAGCTTTCTATACCAATCAAGCAACCGATCAAAATATAATCGAATACACTTTGAAAAGAATGGAGTATCACACTACTGACAGAAATCTCTCGACATTTCCAAAAGAATCATGTTTCACCGACAAAAAAAAAAAAAAATCATGATTTTGAACAGTCTGTTGTGAAAGTCGTAGCTGTTGTACTCCTTCCATGGTTTTAATAAATGTGTCACTATTCATCGGATTAATGTCATCAATTTTGTTAATAACATTAGTAACAAAATCAAATACCATGTAGTCAGGGTTTTCTTTGCAGCTGCATCAAGTTTTGTTATAGTTTCTTTTAAAGCAAGCAAGAATATGCTTTAGAGACGTTTTACCCAAGTCAGTCTGACAAGAACGTCACCAAACCGACGACATACCAAACAGAACATTATATTACCCTTTATATCCGAGTCGCACTGATAAACCAACTTCCATCCGACTGGAACAGAGTCCATTGCAAACCGACCGAATTTTGGACATTGTGGGTAACACCAACAAGACTGACACCAGAACGACTACAAACTGAGCAAAAAATAAACACCACCTCCATATTTATTTGTTTGGAGTTGGTCTTGAATCAGATTGTCAATGTGACTGATTGTTTCTTTGGTCTGTTGTCAGTCTTGTGTCGTTTTTGTTGGCATGAATGAGGTATAATGGCCAAAACTTGGTTGTTTTGAAGTCGGCAATATGACTCAGGTATATCATACCTTAGTCACACCGCCAAACTGACTCCAAACCATGGGGGTAATGTAATTTTTCAATCGGTTATCCTATCTGTTTGGTATTTGTCTTTTCAGTGTGACCAGGGTATAACGTCTAGGAAGCGGGCGGTTTGGATTCAATTTTGAGTCGGTCAGGTGGTTATATTGAGGTACTGTAGAATAATGATCCTACCCTGCAGACTTGGGGATGATGATTCGGAGAAAAGAGTGCTTCAGGTCGTGCTTGGATGTCATGTAGCACTTGTTACAAAGGTCATAGTCATAGCAAGAACTGCACTTCCATCTCATTCCGGCAATATCATTCTCCTTGCATTCATCACACGTTACACCATTATGCTTCACACCTGCGGATAAAAAGGAGAGGAAATATAAAGACCTGGTCATAATTACATAGACTAACCCCCCCCCCCCCCCGACCCAAGTGGTGAAAAGACAGCAGGCAAGGGAGAAGAGAGAATTCAATAACCTATGTTTATGTTGTATCCCATATAAATTATGTTCGTGGAACGTAAATATGTCAGTGTCATTTTTGCAAATTTTCAATATATTATAAATAAGGCTATTGAAATGGCTTTAGGTTGACTTTTTTTAAAAATCCTTTGCGATTGCGTAATTTATAATTGTCTCACCTGCGGCAGCATTGTCATAGATGAGCAGATCGTAGTTCTCATCAAAGCCAGCCCGGTAGTCAGCAGACTTGCCCATGTCCCAGCAGACCACCACGATCTTCTGATGTGCTGGGTTCGAGACCCCCTTTCCTATGGTAACCACGGTGCCGAGGTGTCCTTCGCCATCATCCTGGTCCGACCATTTCCAGTCAGGACCTCGAACCACCCTCGTTCCCACTCCCATCGCCATCGTGAGGTGACCTACAGTAGGGTTCAAATATCAAGCACGATATTGAAGAGAATCAGTGTCACGAAGTTTAAAATGCATTATCATCATAAAATGCAGCAATTCATGAAGATGTTTTGGAAGCTAATGAGTAATGAGATATGATACTTTAAATCTAAGAAAAAAATACTGACTCCTCAAATCAACCTTGTTCCCACTTGATGGTAACACGGCCAGGAGTGGTGTTCAGATGACTTCTGTAGAGCGCAGTGATGAAGAAAATCGGTGTCAGGGAGAATAACAAGATGTTCGCGGACCTTGGGCTCGCCTGAACCGATGACAGTAAGGTCCTGTCAATAACGGACCTAGCTCCCATCCCTTTTCCACCAGGAACACATGATTTACTCTATAGGAGCAGGTATATCCCATTCACACAAATTTAGGTCTTCTTCACATACAAATGATTCCTACAATGTTTAGCCAGATTCAATACCATCATTTTTGTATGAAATCATGGTTCTAGGACACTTCCCCCTGGACATCCACCCCCGGATAACCACCCCCAGTCAACTACCACCTGGGACACTAACCCCTTGGACAACTACCCCCTAGGACAATGACCTTCTATGACGACTATTCCCTGGGACAACTACCCCCTAAGACAACTACCCTCTAGGACGACTACTCCCTAGGACAACTACTCCCGGACAACTACCCCCTAGTAAACCACCCCGGACAACTACCACCCGGACAACTACCCACCAGACAACTACCCCTACGACAACCATCCTCTAGGACAACCAACCCCGGACAACTATCCGAGGGGTAGTTGTCCTAGGGAGTAGTCGTCCTAGAGGGTAGTTGTCTTAGGGGGTAGTTGTCCTAAGGGGTAGTTGTCTGGGGTAAGTTGTCTGGGGGTAGTTTTCCTAGGGAGTAGTCGTCCTGTAGAGGGTGGTTGTCTTAGGGGGTAGTTGTCCTAGGGGGAGTTGTCGGGGGGTAGTTGTTCTCAGTCAGGGGTAGTTGTCTGGGGTTAGTTGTCCGGGGGTAGTTGTCCTAGGGAGTAGTCGTCCTAGAGGGTAGTTGTCTTAGGGGGTAGTTGTCCTAAGGGGTAGTTGTCTGGGGTTAGTTGTCCGGGGGTAGTTTTCCTAGGGAGTAGTCGTCCTAGAGGGTGGTTGCCTTAGGGGGCAGTTGTCCTAGGGGGTAGTTGTCTTGGGTTAGTTGTCCGGGGGTAGTTTTCCTAGCGAGTAGTCGTCCTAGAGGTAGGTTGCCTTAGGGGGTAGTTGAAGTTTACTGAAGTATAGCTGATCACGTTCACGGTCACAAAATTTCATGATATGTGGAGACAATCATTGAGCAATATATAACATAACGCTGTGGTTGCTTTTTGTTGTTGTGTTTTTTTGTGGGGAGGGGGGGGGGGGCTAAAAATAAATAATACAAAACGAAAAATACAAAATCCCGACCAGAACACTAAACATGAAGCAGGTGTTCAAGAGCGACCGTTTTAAGGGTCATGCATTACCCCCTTCTCGGTCAGGAATGTACTCAAATTACAAGAAAATAATAAGATGGATTTGACTCTTTTCCTTTTGCCCAAACCTACATGTATTAGTACGTCTTCCGAGGCCAACGCAAATGAATTTACAAACATTTATTACCTACTAATATAAATCCCTAATTTTGACTCGAGACTTCCGTTTCTGCGGTACGGTGGAAACGCAAATATTCACAGAACTGTTTTCAACAACTATGTTAATTTTATAAACCTTCCTGATCAAAGTTCAATGGAATGCGAAATGTTGTTGTTATCATGGTTTTTATTTACAATTCACGTAACAATAAGAGAACTTATTGCCTTGGGAAAAGATAGTGATATTATGGAAACTCATAGGGTGGGGGCGATGGGGAATCACTTAACGACTGATGTTATAATTATAGGACAATGCAACCTTTACATTAAGGTTCATTTGTATGAAAGCACACAAATAAGAGAAATAGACTAGCGATAGTTTGAATTAAATCGGGCCAATGATAACAGAGTTATGAATGTATGGAATAGGAAATCCCCAGTCTAATTGGCGATTCTGTTAGTGGATTGTGACGTAGTAATGGACTCACGGATAACTGTCCCGTAAGTCGTGTACACTAATATCATTAATTTCTGTTTTTCCACCTTGTGCCTACTACTAGATATAGATATAGATACGTGTGGGCCAGTGCTCACAAAAGTGAAATTCAACACTATTACCCGGATGCATGTAAGCCCTCACTTGTTGCTCCCAAATCAACTTATATATAAACATAACATTGACTTACATACAATATTGCACATTGAAAAAATACATCTTAACTCCCCCCCCCCCCTCCTTCCAAAAACTAAAACAAAAATGACAAATGTATTACATCGCATATTCGTACAAAGATGAATATCATTTAGATGTACAAAGGAAATTATAATCATTATGATACAAACGGCATTATATTAAAGTAACGAGGAATTCAAGATAAAGAGTAATGGAGGCTGGTATCTTCAACAGGGTTGAGAAAAATCATTGCAATCAGACATAGTGTATTAGTTATTAAAGACGCAGGATATAAAGCTTAGAGTATACAATGCAGTAAACAGTATTAACGTGTAAGTGTATAAATGAAGTAAGATACAAGTATAACGATAACAAAATATAATACCTAGCTCAGTATTTAATACATAGGCCTGAAGAAAGCATGTCAATTTATCAGTAATCATATTAATATGTAATAAAAAAAAAGTAAGATTAATCAAGTACAGTATATATTTGAACAACTCAATGATGAGTGGCAAAGTTTCCCTCCCCTCTGAAACGTATTGACACGAAGGACCTATACCAAAACATTAATTACTTTGTAAAGAAACATTTGTATGCTATAACATTAAAATAGTGAACTTTACTGTAATTTTTGTTATCGATTTAAAAATTAACTGTGTAATACTTTGCTTCACATTCCATAACAGAATGCTAATAATGGAAATGAGGCCGTATTGGACCCTGAAAGTATACCAATTTCTCAAAAAGATCTTGTCGAGCTATGTAAACGGGAAGATATAAAAGCCCAGAAAAAACGCCCCGAATCTACGATTCTGTGAAGACGTCAATATAAATCTTGTAGGATCGGAGATGAATTCCATATAATTATGAAATGTGACAAATATAATGATTTACGAGTATATTTTATTGAAAAAAATAGCGATTTTGAAGAAAATTTTAGTAACTTGGAGGTAAAGAAAAATTCATATTTATAATGAGATTAGACAATAAAGATGTAATAGATATTTTCTCTTCGTTTACCAAACAAGATAGTTACAGTGAGGGGTAACTTTAGATACTATGTATTTTAAATAACAAAGTAAAAGTTTACAATCTTATGTTTTTTTTTACTGTAGGCCGCATATATATAAGTACTATTACGTCATTTATTTTAGGCATTCCACGTACCTCATTTACCTATTTTGTATGGCATGCTATATTATATTTCATATATCTAAGTCTTTGGATGTATTATAGTACATTAAATTATTTACTTTAATATGCATTATATATCAGGTTATTACAAGAAGGAAAAAGAGTGTTTTTGCTGTATATAATTTTCATTCTGTTTGCTATATACACTGTATTGTAAATTGATTTATATAATACGTTTACAAACAGAATATTGATGTACATCGATGAAGTTTAATAAATAAAATACAATACATGTAAATAGTATAGACTTACTGGAATTGACGTTTGATGCTTGTCTGTTTCCTTTAAAACAATCTGAATATGGACGACGAATTATAATGTATTCAACTTACTAGGCTGTTATAATTGATTTCAGAACTAAAACCAAGAATTCCACATTGCAACAGCAATTATATGACTTTCTTTCTTCCGCAACTGAGTCCAAAGTTCATGTTTGTCATAGCCCTGGCCCCTGGCTATGAGACATTGTTGTCATTAAAATCTTCCACTGATCATACTGAATACAAAGTTTGAATTCTTTTGTCATTGATTTTGGCAATCGTCGATGAAATTGGGCTTAGGCAAAATTATGTGTGTCACATCAGTACGAGTAAACAACAATGTTCAGACGCATTGAACGCTACATGAAACCTACGCATCGCAGTACTGTTGTTCTCAAACTGTCTTTTATATCCAGTAGGCCTATCACAATTAGCAGTTGTAGCGGCTCTATGAAGAGAGAATTTATTTCATCTTCCACATAGAAGATAATCACAATAATAAACATATTGATATGACGGAAATTAGCATAGAAATATCTTTGACATTGTTTCTTTTAAGTCTTGTAATGCGAAATGATTTATTTAAAGGAAATGAAAAGCGAACCTATTTAGAAGCAATGCTTGTTAGGTATAGGTTCGCACAATTACATTGTATTATTATGATTCGAATAGTATGTAATAAAATGGACAATGACAGTTAGAAATAAACCTGATAATTCTTGTCCCAATGCACAGGGAAATGTGTGAGGCAATCCACTGAATTTGTTTAGTGTTTATAATCAGAGTCTCCACCGGAGCTGTAGGTCCATGACCGGAGGCAGTCCAATATATGATCAATTTAATTCTAACATCTCAAATCAATATACAGACTCCTTCAGGGACAACGACGATGGGTTATATTTTCGTCGTGTTTCCAATCTAATTCTGTCGTTGAATATGAGGATAAATTCGAATGTATTTTTCACAGAACAATACTGTGAGTGATTTTTGAGGAAATGAGAGATACATTAAAAAGACACGAAGTTTCGAAAAACGGAAACTTGTAGGCAAGTGACCAGATATATTCCAGATTTTTTAGATGACGAAATTGTCTTTGCTTTGTTTCCCATTTCATTAACTATTTCGTACTGCTATTTTTCATTTCATTCATAAGGCCATTAAAAAAGAAAAGCATGTTTAGCGTCCTGCCTTAAAAAAAGGAGGCGGCCCCCAAAAAGGAAGCGGGCGGGGAAGCTTAACATGATTTTGTTTTAATGGCCTAATATTCGTTGATTACACTTCATGTAACATAATGATCTGTTCTCCTCCTCACATTATTACCAAGCGCCACACTCACCACCTCTATTACCACAACTTTCAATATTATCACAATCATCATCGTCAACTTCACCATCACCATCAATCATCATCATCTTAACCATCATCACCACCATCATACCAACCATCACCACAAAATCCAGCTACCACTACCTTCAACAACACCATCAGAACCATCCTCATTTATAATTGCACCTGTTCTCCAATATCATCGCTTTGACGCATAACCACCACCATCAAAACACTTGTTCATCATCACAACTACCGCCAACAGTTCGACCGTTACCAACCCCACCACGAACATAGCCTCATCATCCTCATTACCATTACCACCACGCTATCACTCTATCACCTAGCTACTACGTCTAGTTCGTATTTTTAATTTTTTTGTTTTTATTGTAATTCATAACTTGTACTTTAATTCTCTGTGAACTGTATTTATTTACCATAACTTTGAAAAGAGACCCTAAACCTTTGGATTTTAAGAAACAAAATTGAGATTAAATTTCCATTTTGTTTACATATGAATAGTTTTATGACTTTTATCTGTATAAAATGACAATTTGTAATTGTTTCTTTCCCAGCCAAACAAAATAGGATTGTAAAAAACATTACGACAATTGTAATTTATACTTACGAAGAAATACGTAATTTTGTGCTGTTGGCATTTCTGTTTATTCTATGTTTTTACATTTGTACTCAATTATCTTTGTTACAGTATGATTTCGATTTTTGTTATCCTTTTTTTTAATATTGAGAATGAACCAATTTGATGGGATTATAATCAATGAAATGTGAATTGAATTGAGCTACAATCACCACAAATACCACCATTACAACCACCAGCTACCACAGTCGTTGTTATACAACCAGCATCACCATTACAACCACCCTATCAGGTACACTACTATTTCAGCAGCACCACCACTACATCTACTCTGACCAATACTACAACTATTACCACCATCAGCAACTACAATTGTTTTTATACCACAAGTAGCAAAACTACTACACACTCGTATCAGATCCACTACTTTGATCACCACCACCATCAGCAACACCACCACTACACCTGACCCATACTTCCTCCATCGTTGGTGTACCATCAGCAGTACCATTAATACCACCCCATCAGATCCACTACCATGATCAATACCACCACAGAAAACATCACAACTATACTACCACCACCCCATCGCCTGATCAATACTAACACCATTACCATCATCATCAACCACCGTTGTTGTTATACAACCAACAGGACCATTACAACCACCCATCAGGTGCACTACCATGATCACTACCAAAATAAAAAACATCACAACTATTCTACCATCACTTCATCCCCTGTCCAATACTAAAATTATCACCATCAGCTACCACAATAAGCAGCAAGACCTCTACCACTCAGGTCCATCAGGTCCACTACTATAGTTGTGATGTTTTGATCATGGCAGTGGACCTGATGAATATAGTCTTGCTGCTGTACGTGGTAATCGTTGGTAATCAGGCGCGTAACAGGGGGGGGGGGGGGGGGGGGGGGGGGGGGGGGGGGGGGGGGGGGGGGGGGGGGGGGGGGGGGGGGGGGGGGGGGGGGGGGGGGGGGGGGGGGGGGGGGGGTAAGAGGACACTTTTTTTGGGGGGGGGGTCCCAAAAAAAAATCGCAACAACTCAGCCGACCGCTGAAAAAGCGGGGGGAGGGGGGGGGGGAGTAAAAGGACACTTTTTTTTGGTCTCGAAATTTGAAAATTTGACATTTGGATCCGTTGGGGGGGGGGGGGGGGGGGGGGGGGGGGGGGGGGGGGGGGGGGGGGGGGGGGGGGGGGGGGGGGGGGGGGGGGGGGGGGGGGGGGGGGGGGGGGGGGGGGGGGGGGGGGGGGGGGGGGGGGGGGGGGGGGGGGGTGGGGGGAGGGGGGGGGGGGGGGAGTAAGTCCCCTTTTTAGGTCAGCCATGTGAATAATTTGTTTCTTCCAAAGGAGGGGGGGGGGGGTTTACACACATAAAAATACCAAAGGGGGGTTTAACCCCCAACCCCCACCCCCCCTCCTGTGTACGCGCCTGATTACCAACGATTACCACGTACAGCAGCAAGACTATATTCATCAGGTCCACTACCATGATCAAAACATCACAACTATACTACTATGCACCACTACATCATATGTCCAATACTACCACGATCACCACCACCTGCACCTGCACCAGCTACCACCATTGTATACCACAACTTCACAGCCAAAGTACTACCACTGATGCCCATTAGGTCCACTACCATGATTACCTTAATCACCTGTCCAATATATGTCACCACTACCACTATCATAGGCATAAATATACCACCACTATCTGTCAAACATCGGATCCTCACCAGCAACTATAGCACCTCATTGATAGATAAACATGATTTCGTGTACAACCCACAGAGACGAGGAAGAGGATTTCCCTTTATTCTCCAGACGGGAGTCTGGACCCACATTTTTGTATCCGAGTTTGCCTATGGATTCACTCACCTTTATTCAGAGTGGTGCTGGTGTCCCTGTGGAACGTACTTCAAGACCAATTGCGTATGCTATATCCTAAATAAATGAGCTGCTTCCAATAAAGCTGGTTGAAAGATTGAAAAGGAGAATTGTACAAACTGTACACGTACATACAGTGTACTTTGATACCAAAACCATACAAAATGAGTGGGGATTCCCATGTTGCTTAAAGCGCATGCGTGGTTTGTTGTTTGTACCACAATCATAGTCTAAAGGCGGAAACCCTATGTACATTTGTTTTGGTAGAATGGTTGAACCATGCACAAATATTTTCATTCTGGCTTGTTCCATTCGTCATGATTTCATTGATGCCTTGCCCAGCATTATTTGTAAATGTTATACCATGAGGTGTGTACTGCACTAGTGCTGCAGATGTACTGAGGTTTTAATGAGGAAATGTTGAATAATGATGTCTTTGCAGGCAAGACTACACGTTCTGGTTTTCCTGACTGGCAATTAGTTTTGAACGAAATAGAATAGCGAGATCAATATTTGCTGTTGATGATTTTACAAATAATGTAATCTACAAACATCAGTTGTTGGTAGATAAGAACATTTTTGCTCTTTCCTAAATCAAAGCTAGTTTACCCCTACGTAGCAGCTGAACGTTAACGCTAAGTCGCCAACACCATAATATATGCTATCGAATGAGAATTTTGAGAAAGTACAGTACATAGACGATTTAAACCCATTTTATCATGTTTAGAGTAAAAGGATTAGTTTATGTCAATAACAGGGAATGATATGTTATGTGTAATATCTGATTTAAACATTAAAAATGCACAAATATATGTAATAGGCTACGTACACGGACACGTAACTCGATCGAGACCTGCCCTGAAATGCAAGGATTATTAGGGTCCCACCTGTGCCGTCACCTGAATCCGCCACTGATTTAATACGATATTGTTGGACTTCGGAGGATCAGTCTGTACAGTAAAATCCAACTTATTTGGTGGAAAAATCGCTAAATTATACATACGGGGTGAAAAAAGAATATTGCTATGGAGGGGAAAGTGGGTTCAAACAATCCCGCTATATAAAGTAAAGTATATTGAACAGGAACATATTTGTAACATCTCTATGTGTGCGCCTTTTACGTTGACAAACTTAAGGGGGTTCACCCCCCCCCCCCTGCGTACGCGCCTGATCACAACTATGACATTTTAGATGGTGACCATTTCGTGTTTGTTTTTTTCTTCATTTTTTCATTTTTTTTAAAATTCAGTTATGAGTTTTGAGTTTTTGATCGATCGGGTGGGTGGTTCATGCACAACATTACTTATTATAGGCTCTGTATAAGCTTGGCTTGTTAGAACTCTTGTGAGTAATGTGCCGCGGGATGCCATATCCTCAAACTGCTGGCAAACAGAGCAACAAGACCAAGCTCTGTAATAATTAGGATCTCTGTCCAGTAGTATGCCGTGTTTGTGCCATCGAACTGGATCGACCAGTGGGCGTACGTAGGGGGGGGGGGGGGTTTGGGGGGGTTCAAACCCTCCCCCCCTTTGGTATTTTAATGTATGTAAACCCCCCCTAAAAAAACCTAAAACCCCCCCCCCCCCCCTTTGGCTTTTTTTTATTTTTTATTTTTATTTTTTATTATAAAAAAAAAAAAAAAAAAAAAATTAGACCCACGGCTAACCTAAATAGGTGACCTTACCCCCTCCCCCAACGAAAAAAAATGTCAAATTTTGAAATTTGGAGACCAAAAAAAAAAAACCCCCCCCCCCCCCCCCCCCCCCCCCCCCCCCCCCCCCCCCCCCCCCCCCCCCCCCCCCCCCCCCCCCCCCCCCCCACTTAGCGACTTTTCGGCCGGCTGAGTCGTTGCGATTTTTTTTGGTCTCCAAAAAAAAAAAAAAAAGTGTCCGAGTGCTAGTCCACTGCCTGGACTGTTCTCTACATGATCCGTGCTCGCTCACATATCATACTAGTATGGAAAGCCGTTGGTGACTTTATTCACGTGCCCCAGACGTATGGAACGCGGCACACGTCTGCTAAATTGACCAATCGCCGCCTGTTATTTAGCAGGCGCGTGCAAGGTGCGATAGCACACGCCTGTTACTTTGCCAGACGGATGCGCAGAACGCTCGTAAATTGAATTTTAAGACAACCAATCAAGTCCGCTGTAACAAAGCTGCTCAGCTCAGTACGTACGGCGCCTGTTCGCTATTACAAAACTGCTCAGGTCAGTACATATTGGATGGGGGATACACCCACGGCCAGGCACGGATCCAGGGGGGCCGAAGGGGTCTCCCCCCCCTCTCCCCCGCCAAAAAAGAGAGAGAGCTAGAGAAAGAAGAAACAGAAGTGAAGGGAAAAGAGGAGAGAAAGGAAAGAAAGAAGAGGAAAGAAAAGAGGGGGGAAGAGATCAGCGGGGGGGGGGGGGGGCGACTGAGGGCCTTGCCTCCGAGCCCCCCTCCCCTCTCCCCCAAAAAGAGAGAAGGAAGGAAAGGGAAATAAAAAAAAAAAGAGAAGAGGAGTCAAAGGAAAGGGGGGCGGGAAGGAATAAGAAAAGTAATGAAGGAGGATTATCAGTTACGATTTTTCCTCAGGGGGGGGGGGGACAAAAAAAGAGAGTAGGAAGGGAAAAGGACAGACGAGAGCTAAAGGGAACAAAAAAAGGAAAAAAGAAAAGAAACAGGTGAAAAGAAAGGGAGGGGGTCAGATGCAATTAATCCAGCCAACAACATGTGGTTTGGCTAGGGGGTGAAAGGCCTTTGCCTCCCCCCAGCAAACTTTAAAAAGAGAGAAGGAAGGGAAGGGGAAGGTAAAGAGATGAGAAAGGGAAAGAAAAAAAAAGAGGAAGAAGAAAGGTAGGGGAGATCAGTTGCGATTTTTCCCGCCATCAAGGTGTGGATCGGGGTCGAAAGGCCCTTGTCTCCCCCTCCCCCCTCAGCAAGAAAGAGAGAGAGAGAGAGAGAGAGAGAGAAAGAGAGAAAGAAAGAAGGGAAGGAGGGAATGGGAAAGAGGAGAGAAAGGGAAAGAAAATAAAGAGTAAGAGGAAAAGAAAAGGGGGAAAAGATAATTATGGTTTCGCGCTCATCTCGCCTCCCCCAAACGAGACCAAGCGCCAGATACACCACTAGACACCACTGGCGTACTAATTCGAAGGGGGGCAGACTCCCCCTAAAGTGGTTCATTTTTAATTCGATTTCAGTGATTTACAAATGTCGTAAAATGACATGATTTTTAGTAAATTATACTGTTTTATGAGTTTGTTGGAAAATGACGAATTCCGAATAATACAGTCAGGCGAGAAATATGCTTATTTTGAGGTCTGCAAGTCAAGGCTCGCGGAACATAAATTGTGTGGAGTCTAGGGGCGGAGCCTCCGGAAGTTCAGGGGCAATGGGCATTCATTACGTTCAGATGAGCATATTTTGATACCTTATTAATGACACGGGTAGGTCACTAATTGGCGTGGGGTCCAGGGGCTGAGCCCCCGAGGAAACTCAGGGGCTATCGGGGCATTCATTACATTCAGATGAGCATATTTGATACCCCGGAAACTCAGGGATTTTTAGGCATTTTATAACTGTCAGATAAGCATTCAGGGGCACGCCTTAGGGCCCTAGGTGGGGTCAAGAGGGTGAAGCCTCCGAAATTTCATTTAATTACGGTCAGTTGATCATATTTTAAGACTTCATTATTTTGTGACACTGGCAGGTCACAATTTATTTTTCTTACTTCTCCCCACTTCTCTTGAATAAACTTTTTCAAAATAGATGGGGGACCCATGCCCCCGAGCCCCGCTGTGCCGCGAGCCTTTACATGTAGACCTCTAAATAAGCATACTTCTCGCCTGACAGTAACTTTGGGACTTCGTCATTTTCCAACAAACAGTAAGTAGCAGTAACTAGGCTTGTAGTCCGGTCAGCTCCGTTTGGTATCCTGAGGTTTTGAGAATTCCAGTGTCATGGACAAACGAAAATCTTGAAAATTTTCATTGGCTAAAATTGTATAGTTTCTGGGTGCCTGGAGATGGTAGGTCCATAAGTTCTAATAAAAGCTTCGTTCACATATGCCTTCCGGTCACAAAACCTTATTATCTTATTTAGCTCAAAATCTTGGAAATCTAACTTCCTTACTTATTTGGAAAATAAATCGTGCAATATTGTATATTACGAAAAGCTTGGATGTGGTATAACCTAAAGGGTAAATCCACTTCAAAATAATTCGCTTTCAATAGATGTAGAAAAACAAGAGGAGCAGAGCAGAAAAAATGAGTAAAATCGGATAACTAATAAGGAAGTTATGATTTTTTTTTTAAATATGAAAAACTATGGAACAATGGAAAGCACTACACAAATTGCCAATTTGGTTATCAGTTTGTGACGCCATTGCCTCACTATTTATCAATTGCTTTATATATTTTATCCCATTAATTTCCCTCTTTTGACTTGATTTCCCCATGCCTTTGCCCAGGTTATATGATTTGTATCGTTTTGCGGGCATGACATTTCACAAGATTTTTATAAACTTTGAAAAATTGAAACTATTTTCAGAATATTGTATATTTATAATTATTGACTTTTATATAAATAAATTTTCAGAATTCACATTTTTCATGATTTAACTGAAAACAATTTACTCTACATTAGATTATTAGTGCATCCACACAAAAACATATTATTGTCAATATGACTTGGATGCTGGTGTTAGGAGATGAGATTCTCAGGGGGAAAGTGAGAAATGTATATTACCAATAGAAAGAAAACAATAAGAGGATAACGAGGCAATGACGTCAGGAGCGGATCCAGGGGGGTCGAGCGGTCCTTGCCCCCCCCCCCCCCCGCAGAGAGAGAGAGAGAGAAGGAAAAGAAGGGAAAGAGGAGAGAAAGGGAAAGAAAGAAGAGGAAGAAGAAAAGAAAAGGGGGGAGGAAGAGTCGGGGTTGAAAGGGCCTTGCCTCCCAGGCTGTTCCCCCCCCCCCAAAAAAAGAGAGAGATAGAGAGAAGGAAGGAAAAGGGAAAGAGGAGAGCTAAAAGGTAACAAAAAAGAGGAAGAAGAAAATAAAAGGGTGAAAAGAAGGGAAGTTGCTGTTAATCCCGCCAACAGCGTGCGGAGCGGAATGGGGGCCGAAAGACCCTTGCC